AAAAAATAGTTCATGTTCTTTCATTTATTAAATAAACGAACTTCCCGCCGAACGGTTCACGAACGGTTCGCTGAACGTTCGGTTCGTTCACAGCCCTATCGTTACTATAAAAACCATATTTTTTATAATTATTTTTAGATGTATATTATACCATATTAATTATATGGTGCCACCGTTTGAAAATTTTTCTGGGTACGTCCCTGGTGAGGAGAATGTATGGATTTATTTGTTCTATTTGTCTTATATAAATATTATATACTTAAAAAAACACCATTTCCAAAGCATTGGAAATGAACACATTCATGAAACTGTTATTCAGAAATTTCATGTTAATACGCATATACGCAAACCAACTGCAAAGTTAAAACGGTACCATATGAATCGAAATCGTAACAAGAACGGAAGTCGTTGTAGTTTGGAGCTTCATTACAATCCTCCGTTTGATTGGCATTGATTACACCCGTTTGTTCTTACTTCGTCATCATAATTGACAATTTGCATAAAAATAACAAGTGTAGTTGTAACAACATATCCAATCAGCTATATTATTTTAAATTTTTTGAAGATTAAATAAAATTTTGTTTTAACAAGTGCGCTAAACTATGAAATTTATACATATAAAATATAGAAAGAAAATACAATTTACCTGTTAAAAATACTCTAAAATTTAGGCCTTGTTTGTTTTTTTGAAAAAAAGCTTTTATCAATCTCTTATGTCTGATTCATTAAAAGGCATGGTCATTTAGACTGTTCATTTTTTTTCTAAATTTTTAGAGGCACTTATGTGTAATTGTTTTATTATATGGTAAGAAATAAACCAACTTTTTATTTGTCTCTTATTATTTTCCAGACCCTCATTGACTACGTTTTCAATCGATTAACCTTAATTGATTTTTTCTCTCTATCGATCCTTACCAAATGGGTCATCATCTATCTTAATTGAATTTAAATGTGTTAAGTACCGTCAATGTCATACTTTTGTTTAAATGAATGTTACTTATATAATAATTTTAGATGTAAATTTCGTAATAATGATGAACAAATATATGAAATCGTATAAATTTAACAATACAATTTTCTGATGGGTAAAATAGATAATTTAAACAAATTCAGATATTTATCATTTACAAAAACAAATAGTCTTATTGGTTTTGCTTTTAGAATTTAATACCACCTCTTATCGATCAAAAATAAAATAAGATTTCAGACTTCAACACCTTTTAAAAAAACAAACAACATCTCTTTAAAAGTGTTGGTATTTTGTAGGTATATTATTTTTAGATTTTTTTTTTCAAATGAAAATGGTTATTTTCAACTGCCATATAATTATAAAATATTAATTAATATATTATTTTTGGCTTTTTTAAATAAAAAGAAAAAAAAATTAAAACCACACCTTCACATAACATTGTAACCTTGGTGGGTTTGGTTCACATTTCTGATTTTATGGTGCTTTCACCTAAACCCACAGTTGACTTTTTGACCATCTTTATTTCAGACTATTTTATATTAAGAGGTTATTTCTTATTGGAAAATAAAATAGAATTAGAGGTTTTTTTTTATTTTTTAATAGTTTTATTAAGAGGTAATTTTTAAATCGTTAAAAGTGAATATTATTTGACAAAAAAATATATATTTATTAATAGTTTTAAAATCATCTGAATAATTTTGTATCTTGGGTATCCCTTAATCATTCAACACCTTAATTTCATTTAGAATAATTATCAAACAATTATATTTCATTTTACATTATATCATAAAAACATCTTAACCATTCTGATCACTTAATCATTCTACATCAAACTATTCAACAACCGTCAAACAACTCATGAAATTAAAAATATAAATAATTTTTTGTTATTCTAAAGTAACCTGAATGAAAATTTAAGGTTTCGAAAAAAATGCATTCATTATCTATACTATATTATAAAACATTTGATAAAAAAACTCTTAAAAACAATTTTTCATGCATGAAGTACTGCTTATTAATGCATATTACTTAAAATTTAAGGTTACAAGTAAATTGTGCATAAGTATAACTTATTAAAGCTTCATGTTTGAATTCGTGTAACTAACTGCAGATAAATATAATCAAATAGAAGATAAACATTGCATTTTAAATATAAAACATCTAAAATATAATTATAATAATTATTGAGTTCTAACAAAATCATTATCTTTATAAAAATTATATTGTTAAGTCAAAAATAAATTACTTCGCTATTAGACCTAAATTAAATTATAATAAGATTTTGAATTAAAGAAATTGTACAAAAAAACGAGAACTTTTAAATAGTTAATTTGGTATTAATATCGATATATTTTTTTAAAATTTTATAATATTTTAAAATTTATTTTTATTCAAAAGTAAAATTATTATTTTTTTCAAAACCATATTATATTAACATAGACAAAAAAAATAAAACGAAACACTAAAATAAAGATGTATCTCGCTGCATTGCGCGAATATCCTTTTAGTATTATATAAAATAAAACAATTTTTTTATTTTTAATATCATTAATTATTGGTTAATAACCAAACACCCTTTAAATTTTGTATAAAATAAGATGGTTAAACATGGATAACAAATAATTAATAATTTATTTAATATTATTTAAATATTAAGATGAATACAAACACTGTTTAATAACTTAACAAAAAAGTTAGTAAATTATTTAAACAACTACTTTAATTTAAAATATATATAAAAATTTAATAAAAACATACCAAATACAATTTATTTATTTTATTTTGATATAATTTTCTGTTTAAATATGATAGAAAGTCTGAACTGGTTCTCTTCATAGTTCAACGTGTTCTAATTCAGTTTGTTCATGGATGAACGCACAGTTTTAATTAAACATGCAGATATTATTTTAACTGAATTTCATACCTTTGGCCTTTGAACGCGAAGAGGACAGACTTGTCCACTTTTCAGAAAACCATGATCGAACCTGATATCAAAATCAATAATGTCAGTAGAAATCAAACCCATAATTTACAGTTATTGACATGTTTAACCATTTGAGGGCAGATATGTTGTCTTCTAATTTCCTTTTAAATTTAATCACCTTTATCTGAAAATGCATCGATGTTAAATAGTTAATCTTTGATACAAAACAATCACGGTTCATATGTAGTTGGGTGTTATGGGCTGTTTATTTACAGTTTAATGAGCTTAATTGTCTGAACAACTTATTTGCTCAACCTTACAATAATGTTTCTTTACAGCTTAATCGTTAAGCCGTTGAACCAAAATTGTTATATGGAATAAGGATCCCTTAACTTGTCACCATTAAGCCACCTCAAAATAAAGTTAATATTAGAAATGCCCTATAGATAATCCAATCCTTTCTTTTTTGCTAAGGGTGTTGACGGTCTTACTTGGACAATTTAAACCCCCCCCCCCCTTTCCCCCTGCGAACCAAATTGCTAAAGCGGTTTTTTTTCCAAACCGAGTAGTTTGGCAGCACGTAACCAAACTGGACAACAAAAGACTGTTTGGTCTGAACGGTTTAGACGGTTTGTTCTATTACAAACTTACAGTAAAAAAAAAAAAATATAACACCCATCTCCAAAATTAAAAAAAAAACATGAAAAAATTAAATAATCCACCAACAATAGTTGAAAATTTTGGGTAAAAATTGAACAAGTTCAATAACGATTTAGAATTTTGGATTATGATTTTCTTTTTGACAGATTCAGATTTTGTAGGTATAGGGACGTGAAAAATATAGAAGTAAAAACTAAAAACTTAATGCATTCGATGAAATTTTTTTAATTGAGTCATAAGAGTTGAGTTACAACATGTAAACTAAATATAATTAATATATTTGTATTTTAGCGAACGGTTCGGTCTAAATTACTCAAAACAACGTTCAAACTATAGAACAGAACGGTCCGCTAAACCGTTCAAAGCATAAAAACAATCCGATTTAGGAGGTGTTTGAGATTGCTTATTTGAAATAACTTATGTTTTTTTACAAAAAATTTTATCAACTTATTATAAGTTAGAATAACTTAACTTTTTTAAAAAATTCTTATTACCGGTTTAACACCGATATAAACTCTTTATCCAAACACTCAAAAATACTTATTACCAATATCACACCAAAATAAATAAATAATTCAAACACCCCTAACCGTATTTATTAAAGCCCCTACTTTCATGTCGTTCACCATCCATCTCCTCTATATTTTATGATTGGAGATGTATATAAAACATAAAAAACCATTTCTTTATCACAATTTGAACCTGCAAATGCGATCATACAAACGCAGAGGGAGTGCGTATAACAGCAAACAGAACAGCATTTCATGCTCTCTCTCTCTCTCTAAAAGCTTCTCTCTGTAGGGGCTTCCAAGCATTCTCAACGCACAAAGAAAGAGGGAGGAGAGAGAGAGAGAGAGAGAGTTTTGTTTGTACGTGGAGTGAGAAAGAATGAAATCAGTATGATGATGACCACTTTCACAGAAAGGTGATTGTTTTCCATGGCGGACCCTAAAAAAGATACTCGTATTTTATTAAAGACACCACTCAATAAAACAGACCACTCTTCTGCTTTGATACGCGTGCTTTGATGCAACAAACAGCCTTTTTCTTTCTCTTTCTCTTCCGCAATTGTTGTTTCGATTAGAGAAGCTTAGCCCCACTTCGAATTTTGCAGGGTTTTTTTGTTCCTTGGTTTTGGATTTTTGGGGCATGCCTTCTTTTCAATCCGATTGTTCTCTAGATTCTTCTGTTCTTGCCACCAGATTCTTCAAAACCCTTGTTTTCTTTCACTTGTCTTCAACCAAATGCGTAGTCATCAGTCATCACAAATGGGGTTCTTCAACAAGTAAGAATCTCAAGTGGGGTTGTTGGTTCTTTGGGTGAAAAACTGAAAAGCCCATTTGTTTTGAGGTGGGGTTTTGGTCGATTTTACCCTTTGTGGAGGAAATCATTGAGATCTTTATTAGTAGATGATAATTGGGTGATGGGTTTCTATGGAACTGTGATATGAGCATCATCATTGAAGAAAAGCTCAGATCATCATCAAGTGTGAGCAGTGAGATGAAACTGTTGATGGAAATGCAGGACCATTGTGGTTAGTTTCTTTAACTTTGCAGACTATTTTGTGTGTGTTTTTAAGTATGTATCAAATAAGCAAAGGCTAGAAAACCATTTTTGGTGTTCAAGAAATCTTGCATTTCTCCTTTATGTTGGTTCTGTGATCAGAGGTTCATCCCAAACAAGTCTGGTACAGTTTGAAATACCAAAATGATATCACATTTACTGCTACACAAGATTTTTGACGAGCTGGTGCACCTTTACGGTGATCAAAGGCCTGCAAATTCGTCTCATGTGTTTTTAGCCGAATTCCATTGTTTCCTGGGATGTTTTTAAGTTTTTTGGTTGATGTCGAGAGTCTTTTTCGGCTTTTTGGTTGATGTCCCGTATCATTTTGTTGTATACAACCGTGTATATATTTTGAAACTAAGATGGCACCGTTAGTTTTCCATGGTAGAGTTGATTTGCATGGTTTTTCTCCCACCTCAGGCACAGGTTCGAATTCCTTCTATGTCTATGTTTTTAGTTTTAGTTTTAGTTTTTTGCAACAAAAGACTCGAATACAAAACCTCACCTACAAAAAACAAGAACTAACCAACAAATAAATGCTGATTTTGTGAAAAATATCCATTTCTTTGTTTCTTATAGTCAAATAGTGCCACCACTTGAAAAAATTCCTAGATTCGCCCCTGCAGCAGCCTGCCGAATATATGTTGAAGAACCCACAAAGGGTTCCACAAGAATTGAATGTTCTTATCATCTTCTTATGGTGATTAGGGTTTCTTTTGGGGTTTAGTTGATGACATTAGTGGCAGAGGGAGAAAGGGATAGTTCTGTTTTGCTTTTCTTGTAGTATATATGTGAACAGTTTTGTTTTCATTCCAAATTGTAGGGGTAAAAAGGGCAATAAATTCAGAGCTATGGCATGCATGTGCTGGGCCATTGATAACTTTGCCACAGGTTGGGAGCCTTGTTTATTACTTCCCACAAGGACACAGTGAACAGGTTTGGTTTACAAGCCATTACTTTCATTTCATTGTACTTATTGTCGAATAGATTAACCATTTCTTTATTCTCCGATCGTCTAAAAACAAAGATCTTGTTGTTTCAACCACAAGGGTGGTGCCTGATTGGTTTGAGCTTGGCTCCAAAGGTCAAAAGTACCAGGAGGTTCCATGTTCAAATCCAAGGAGGAATAAGAATCCCCTCGTGGCCACGGAGGTTCAAATGCTGTGACTCCGGGCTATCTGCAAAGCAGGTGGTCGCCCTAAGATTAGTCGGCTCGCATAGCGGGTTGGATATCCAGGGTTAATAATAATAAAAAAAGATCTTGTTGTTTCTTTGACAATTTCCGATCTTTGGTGGACGAATTGAACCCAAATGAACTCCCAAAAGAGAAAGAACTGATCTTGTTGGATTCCCATTGTAGGATTTGAACCTTTAGGACCCATTTGGTTTGTAGGGTCTGTCACTGGATTCCATTCCGATCCCAGTCTGGAATGGAAATCCAGGACCCAAACATGAAAATACGTTGCAATTTGTGCAATTTGTCCAAAATGGTTTACATGATACATGTTTTGCTATCTGCTAGCTAATGTTTCAAGATTGGTTTATCAGGTGGCGGCCACGACTAATAGAACCGCAACAACGCAAGTTCCTAACTACCCGAACCTTCCTTCCCAGCTGTTGTGCCAAGTTCTAAATGCTACCCTCCATGTATTTCATCTAGATTCATACGAAACCCGCTTGTTTGTTTCTTCGGGGTCCACTTTTCGTCATTCTTGGTTTTCTTTTTTTATTTAAATAGGCAGACAAAGATACCGATGAGATCTATGCCCAAATGAGCCTTCAACCTTTGAACTCTGTAAGTTTGAGCAACTATCGAAAACTAAAAAACCTGATTTTCGATCAAGACATGATTTTCCGTTACTAATATGATGGACCAATGCACTTTCGGTTCAGGAAAAAGATGTTTTCCCGATAACGGATTTTGGAACGAAGCCGAGCAGACATCCAAGTGAGTTCTTCTGCAAGACTTTGACCCCAAGTGATACTAGCACACATGGTGGCTTCTCCGTGCCTCGTAGAGCAGCAGAAAGGCTCTTCCCTCCATTGGTAACGTTTCGATTTCTTGGTTTGCATTGGTGCGTTTAGTACGTAGGCAGGACAAGGCATAACAACCGTTAAAAGTATGTGTTAAGACATAACTGAAAGGACAAAATATATAAAATGACTAATTTATCCTGTGGTTTGTTAAAGACATAACTGAACAGACAACATATAAACCAACCCCTCCTCCCACGGCCACTCACCATCTCCGCCGAACCAGCCCCACGATCACCCATCGAGGGCTTCATCAAAGAGAACACGTCGGAGGTTTCAAACCGAACGGGTCGAACCAGCCCCACCCTCGATTCCACTAAATCACCCATCAAGGGATTCATCGATTAAGGTTTGATTCCACTACAATTGCTCCTCCTCTGGAAGACTAGGGGAGTTGTAAGGGGCTTCGTCGATTAAGCATCTCCGGCCAACCCTTTCTGCCTCAAGCATCTCCGACCATCGACAGATGAAGAACATATAAAAACCGTGAGGAATCACCAAAGTCCTCCGGACCAAAACCTACTGATAAAGCACAAATCCAGACCCTGGCCCTCGTCCCCAACCTCCCCTCGTCGCCTCTTATCTGTCTTTTTACCTTAACTTTCTATGTTGCTGCTGTTTCTGATGGGTCTAAAAGTCCATAACTGCCAAATGGGTTCTCAAAATTACAGATGGGATTTCTTCTCCAACACATATTCGGAACCAAGATTATGTTGGTGTAATCAACAAAAATGGAGGTTTTGAACTTGGAGGCGGAGATGACGCAAACCATTGTGGAGTTAAGGTGGTGGTGGTGGTGGTGTTGAGTTCACCGGGGGTGCAAATTGGGGAGGGGGAGGGATGGGGTAATTTTGAGGTCTGGATTTTTTTTGTGTGTGAATGGAGTAGGATCGTGTGTGTGGTGGTGGTGGGTGGAAAAGATGACCGGAGGAGGGGATGTGGACATGTGGTGGTGGCCGGAAAAGGGGGCCGGATAGTTTTTGGTTTGGGTTGTTGGGGTAAAAATCGAGGTGGGGAGTTATTAAATAATTAAATTTTGTTGTTTTAAAGTTAAATGTGAGAAGGGTGTAAAAAGACCAAACTACCCCTCACTTAACGAGTTTTTTCAACAGCAGTTAGCGCCAGGGACCAAATCCGGTCGTTTTTTGCATATCACAATGGCAAAACTGTAGTTTCAAAACTGTAGGGACCAAAAGTGTTAATTTGCATACCACAATGGCAAAACTGTAGAGATCAAAAGTGTTACAAACAAGAGTGACCGAATTTGTAGTTTACTTTAAAATAATATTTTGAGGACAATAAAGTGAAAGTTTAAATAGCATAAAATACAATAAATAAAATTTAAAGAATGAATAAAATGTAAATAGGGAAGCATATTTGATTGTTTAGAAAAGAATTATGTTTTATTTTGAGGTTGGTTCCACCTTGTTTCGTGGAGTGGAGGTGGAACACGCCTGTTCCACTTTGTTCCACATAAAAGTCCTGCCAAACATGGAATAGTAATCTTTGTTTTGTTTTGTCCACTCCAGCGTACCAAACACACCCTTAGGGTGTGACCGGTATGCTGACTGGACTGGACGGACAAGAATGAGGTGGGTGGGTGAAAGAATTCTAGAAGGTTTTAAGGTTTTAATTTGATACGAGTAGTTTAGTAATTTACTAATCTTGTATCATATTTCTAATTTTTGTTCCACCTATTTTTAGTGGGATTGGCGAAAAAGCATTTTTGTCCCGTTTAGGTCCTGTCCTTCCCTAGTCTAATGTAGAGCAAAATGTGTCCAAACGTGAGACAAGAAGTTTTTGCAATGACTTGTTCCATCCCGTCCCACGTACCAAACGCACCCTTAGTTATTTGACAAGATCGTAGTTAGAAATCGTCGACTTCTTTCAGGATTTTTCAACGCAACCTCCGACTCAAGAGCTTATCGTCCGAGATTTGCATGAGAACACCTGGACATTCCGGCATATATATCGTGGTGAGCATGCCTTTGTTCTTAGTACATAATCCGAAAATCTGAAAGTTTGATGGCGTTTTATCTATTTTGTCGAAGTAGATTACGTTTAGGTCCCGTCTTCGTATAAACATTAAACACGTATCTGTAATCTTACCAGCATTTGTTCGTTCTTTATCCTGTTTCCGCAGGGCAGCCAAAGCGGCACCTTTTGACCACAGGTTGGAGTATGCTTGTTGGTGCGAAAAGGCTTAAAGCAGGCGATGCCGTTATATTTATAAGGTGATTACAAGTTAGTTCTCGTTTTTGTTGACTGCATTTACATCGAAGTGGTCCATTAAGACCATGTTTGACAACCATAAGCTAGCTTTGTTTTTGAGCTTATTGAAAAAGTCTCGTTTGGTAAGCCATAAAACTAGCTTATAAGTGCGTTTTTTTGAAAAACTACTTCAGGTTTCAATAAGCTCTAGGGGCTCACACCGTGTATCTTATACATGTATATTATGGCAGGGATGAAAAATCACAGTTATTGTTGGGAGTTAGGCGCGCAAACCGTCAGCAAACAGCTTCACCGTCATCGATTCTATCTGCTGATAGTATGCACATCGGAGTTCTTGCTGCTGCAGCTCATGCCGCTGCTAACCAGAGTCCATTTTCAATATTCTACAATCCGAGGTAGCTCCCTATAGCCCGAGTTCATCGATTCTAAATATGCCTTGTAGGTGCCATGCGGACCGCATACGAAGCGGTATGCGGGACATGTTGGAACAAAAACTTGTCCCATGTTTGGTGCGACAAGACACGACTGAGTGAGACAAAAATGCATTTTTTCTGTTTCACTAAAATAGGTGGAACAAAAGTAAGGAAGGTGATACAAGATTCGTAAATTACTAAAGTACCCTTGTTAGATTCAGCCCACCTACCTCACTCTTGCCTGTTCAGTTCCTCCACGTACCAAACGTGAGAGCCAAATTTCCCGTGTGTTTAGCTAATTACTATATTATTTTTAGGGCTTGTCCTTCGGAATTTGTCATCCCATTGGCAAAATATCGAAAGTCAGTACACGGGATCCAACTTTCAGTCGGTATGAGGTTTGGAATGATGTTTGAAACCGAGGATTCCGGAAAACACAGGTATATACAAGTAAAATATCAACATCTGGCTTTTGTTCATATCTTTCTATATATATCTATTTTGTCTCCGTGTGGGGCCGGTTGGGGTTGTCGGTAATCAACTTTTTACCCAAATATCTATGTTGTCTTGAACTTGAAAGCCTTTTTCATATTTCCTGAATCTGTTCGGATGTGAATCGATTGTCTTGTTGTTTATGTAGGTATATGGGCACAATTACTGGTATAAGTGATGTGGATCCGTTAAGGTGGCCGGATTCTAAGTGGCATAATCTCCAGGTTTGATAGTGTATCATTTGGAGCCTTTTTTCAGAGTCCCACGTCAGCTAGACTTGGTTATTCACTATAATAAAATCGGGTTTATAAGACGCCAAAAATGTCTGTCTTATGAAGCAGTCTATTAGGACATTTAGACATATTTTGCGTCCTATAAACCCGATTTTATTGTAGTGATTTATCCTCTATATATATTTCTCTCCTCAATGACTGTTTTAGAGAGTAATTTAATGGGGTTCCACATATTCTCACAGTTTTGTCATATTTATGGCTACCACCAATGTTACCATCAAACTCACCGTAATTCTTGATATCAGGTGGAGTGGGAAGACCCGGGGTGTGGTGGTAAGCGAAGCCGAGTGAGCCCATGGGATATCGAGACCCCGGAAAGTCTATTCATTTTCCCGTCTCTCACTTCAAATCTTAAACGACCCTTCGGGCATGGCTACGTAGGAGACCAAACCGAATGGGGCAATATGGTGACCCGACCCTTCATGCGGGCCCCAGAAGCTATAAATAGCCTATGGTCAGAACAGCTGATCAAGATGTCAAGAAAACCTCAAACTGTTAATGGTATGGGATCCGTCTCGCCGGTTATCCAAGAAGCCTGTGCTGCTAACCGAGCTCCGTTACAAGAGGCAAAGGCGTCGATCCTTGCTTCATCGGAGACGGTAAAATCAGAATCTTCACAGCTTACTTCTTCTGATGACGACAAGCTTTCTGTAAAACCCGCCATGAACCCTCCAAATCTCATAAACGAGCAGCCTATCGTTAACCAGCTATCACCACTTGATTCGAGCCTGCTCAATGATCAGCAGTTTGTCTCTCCAGAGCTCGATCCATCTCTTAGCGGTTTATTCCCTTATTCTTCCATCGGGGAGGAAACATGGGATCCGCGTGACGATATCTATGGTTGTCTCAATTTCGAGTGTAGTAATGGGGGCAGCACGGTTGTTGATCCATCAGTCTCAAGCACAGGGTTGGACGGTTTTTGTGCTCCGAAAGCCGGTGCTTTCCAAAATCCTTCAGAATTTATAGTTAACAACAATTTGTGTTCGAGCCAAGATGTTCAGTCGCAGTTCACATCATCTAGCCTCGTTGATTCGCAAGCATATACTGTGCAAGAACTGCCCGATAACTCGGGTGGGACCTCTTCTAGCAACGGAGAGTTCAACGGCACCGGACTCGTGCAGAATAGCTCGTGGCACCAAGTAATCCCCCCTCCGCGTGTGAGAACCTATACGAAGGTGAAAATTTCCGCTTTCTTATAGCATACGCTACAACAAAGTGGGCTTTTTAGGTGTGATTTCGCGACCTAATAGAGTACTTAATAGAACTTAGAGTAAACCACAAATTTGGTCCCTGGGGTTTGTCGAAAATAACACTTTTCGTCCTTGCAGTTTTAAAATTACAAGATGTCCATCGTGGTTTGCAAAAATGTCTGGATTTGGTCCCTCTCTCTAACGGCTGTTAAAAATTCCGTTAAATGAGGGGCATTTTTTTCACTTTGTCGATTTTTTTGTCTTTTACTCAATCAAAAACCACAGAGACCGAAATCATAAAATCGATTTTGATCAGGTAAAAAACAAAAAAATGGTAAAATTACGAAAATGTCTTCATTTAATAGAAAATTTTCACGGACGTTAGAGAGGGACCAAATCTGGACATTTTTGTAAACCATGATGGTCATCTTGTAATTTCAAAGCTGCATGAACAAAAAGTGTTATTTTCGACAAACCATAGGGACCAAATATGTAGTTTACTCTATATTAGCACTTTTTTTGATGGTCAAAAGTGTCCTATAAAAATACTAATAAGACAGATATATACCGTGTCATATTAGACCGCCAAAATGGTTGATGGAATTTGTTAGGTCGTCTAACTTCGTTTTCATAACTTGCTATAACGTCATTGTATAGGACAAATAATTGTTGGTTCGGTTTTGAGTTCGTATGTATAAACACACGTATTTGTTTCCTTGCAAAGTACGAAAGATGAATACGAAAACTTTTCCCGTGTTTCTTGTGAACGGTTTCTTTCTTGGGGAGTGCCTGCAGATTCAAAAGGCAGGATCAGTTGGAAGATCTATCGATGTTTCGAGTTTCAAGAACTATGACGAACTGTGTTGTGCAATCGAGAGGATGTTCGGGCTCGAAGGCCTGCTTAACGATTCAGTAGGTTCTGGTTGGAAGTTGGTGTATGTAGATTTTGAGAACGATGTTCTTCTCGTTGGCGATGATCCATGGGAGTAAGTTTTATTATCGCAACACTTTTACATAAGCCGTACAGGTGTTTGATTCTATAAAACAGTCTAGAACACTTGGGGGGCTTTGTTAGCAACTTAATGAGCTTAATGGGACTCGGCTTATTCGGTCAACTGTAAATGACTATTTGGTAGCTGCTTAAATGCTTAATGATATAGAAAGTGACTTATTCATTAAGATCTTTATGCAGAAATCCAAGACTCTTTCCAAACCTACGCCTCCGAATTAAAAAAGACGCTCCTTCATCGATAAAAAAACTCTGTCAATCTATACCGACAAATTAATTCACATAAACAGTTTTATCCATACAGGATTTAATGGAAAACCAACCAAACAGCCCCTTACGCCTTTTATAAACCCGATTTTGTTCTTGAGCAAAAAACACGATGATATTGAACAGTGATTGGGTCCTAATCTTGATGGCCTAAATGCAGGGAATTTGTCGGGTGTGTTCGATGTATCAGGATTCTATCACCGTGTGAAGTTCGGCAGATGGGTGAAGAAGGAATGCAGCTTCTGAATAACAGCACGGCGGCATTGCAGGCATTAATGACGGTCCGACACCAGACACCGGAGACTGCATGATCCGACGGACTCGAAGACCATTGTAATATTAAGACCGTTTGAATTGAATGGCGATTTGTATGTTTTATCAAAGCTTTGTAATACGAATATTGGTTTATTGATGCTTGATTTATAGCTTATAAGATCAATCATTTTCACATGTCATTTTTTTTATTAACATGGATATACAACTCGTTATGCGAGCCGATTAATTCCAGGGGACCACCTGCTTTGCAGATAGCTCGGAGTCGCCGTATTTGAATCTCTGTGGCCACAAGGGAATTTTTATTCCTTGTTAGATTTAAACCTGGGACCTCCAGGTACTTTTGACCTTTGGAGTCAAGCTCAAGCCAATCAGGCACCATCCTTACCCACTGCTGAAAACAAACTCTTTTATCCTTCTAGATAGAGAGACCGGTTCTTGTCTTGAAAACGGAGATCGATTTTTCTGTCTGTATAGATTGACATAAGTTTTTCATGTATTCTCGTTAAATTTTTTTTATTAAAATTACAAAACTATCCGATCTTTCATTCTAAAAGATATATTTTTTAATGATATATTAGTAAAAATAACATCTTACCCGGTTAGTGCTTACTGGTAAAAAAAAATATCCGAGTAATTGAGGACTGTGGCTCTTACCCGGTTAGTGCTTATCGGTTAAATTTTTGCATATGATAATTTTTAATAGATTAAAATCTTACCCGATAAAATAAATGAGAATATTGAAAATATTTACCAAATAAATGTTTAGATAAACACTCCTTGCTCTATTTTTATTTTAAGATGCATTTATAACATACTCCAAACAAAAATATAACCAAAATCATCAAAATCTCAATTTAGGGATTGTTTATAAAAATAATTTATTGATTTATTCCAGTGTGACATTGATAATAAATATTTTTAAGTGTTTGGATAAACAATTTATATCGATATCGAACCGATAATAAAGAGTTTTTAAGAAAGTTACACAATTCGGACTTTTAATAAATTGATAAGTAAAGCGCGAGCGGTTTCAAATAAGCAATCCAATAAGGCGTATGGGCAGCACCTTCCACCTAGCTTCGCGGCCCCAATCTCAGTAGCAGCAAAGCAAGTGCTGCGACCACCATGAATATTTTGACTGGAATACTATCGTCGTCTCCACCGTCTACCCTTCTCCATTTCAATCGATTTTTCATTTCGTCCTTTTCTTCATCTTATGAAACCCAAATTCAATCTTCTTGGAGAAGGAGGTTCTGGAGGAGCATCTCGATGTATTCATCATCATCATCTTCCTCTTCATCCCTTTATACTTGTGCGTCCTCTTCTAGAATCGATCCTATTGTATCGCCGTCGGTTGTCGGAGAACCAGAAACGATTACGGAAAATAACAAGCCACCGAAGCAATATCCGTGGCTGATTGTAGGTCTTGGAAACCCTGGGAAATTGTACAACCGCACAAGGCACAATGTTCGTACTCTCTCTCTCTATTTGTTTACTCAGTTCAAAGCTAACCATATGGATGACACATATTTGGTTTTGTTATTTCATTGCATTATTATCCTGGTTTTCTGTTGATTCATTGTGGAAGTGATATGAAGTTTGTTTGCAGCAAGGAATTGAGGCAGATTTGGGCAAAACAATGATAATGTGGGAATTGGAATAGGATAGTAAATAGTTTGGTAAATTTTGGATGACATCATGTTACTTTTAGATGTTGGAGTGTTCTGTATTGAAATTGAAGAGCAAGAATAGCTAAAAGATCATTGGGTTTTTAGATTTTATCAGTCACTTGTTTGAACAAAAGAATCTATAAGTTAAACCATAATCGCCTCAGTTACATCATATTTGCCCAAATTTAATCAAGTAACCTTAATCATCAATGACCCTTCTTCTTGCTGTTCATGTTAATAATTTGATCAACATTTGATGAATTGAGATGTATATGAAGAGTGTGTTTTTTTCTGTTTTTAGCAAAAAAAAAGAGGGAAAGAAGAACCGTTGCCCGTTGGCATGGCCCCGTGCATGCCAACATGGTATTTTGCTAATAAACATATAAATGGGTTGCAACGATTTAAGAGGATAGGAAGTTTAGGAGATGTATTGCACCAATTTATGGGGAAATCAAGCCGGGTTCGAGTCCTGCCATCTACACATGCACTTGTGGCCACTGGGCACGGGAGATTCCTCGGGGCTGTCACAATCGCGACTTGTCATGGCATTAGTCCCAGGCGATGCCTGAGGTCACCCATTTCCAAAATTTAATAGGAAGTTGTGTTGCTAATATGAGTAATTGTTCATTCATGTTATATCTGAAAACTGAGTAGTGAATAGTGATTATTAGATGCCATCTTTTATGGTATGATTCTATATCCATATTGATCTTAATTCTTATCCAATATTGTTTACATGGTCTGAGCACCAGTGCTATCTTTTATGGATAAAATGCACTGGAGCTATGGTTTGCAGGACTTATAAATGGTATAAATGGTTGTACAATATGATTGCAGCTGTTATAGGATGCTTTTTTTCTCTGTGAATCATTGCGATGTTGGACATTTGCAGGTGGGTTTTGAGATGGTAGATGCAATAGCAGAAGCCGAGGGTATCTCCATGAGCAGTGTTTCCTTCAAAGCTTTCTTTGGGAAAGGTTATTATTGTTCTCAACTTACATATACTCTATAACAAAAATATGCATTCAGTGATGGGCGGGCTCAAAGTTGTTTGTGAAATAATAGACCTGTTGCAATTTCAGAACTAAATAACTTCATGTGACATCAACAATGATGGATTGGAGTCTTATACTGCACTTAGTTGAAGAAACAAAATAGACGATAAACGATTAAACCCAAACCAGAAATCTCTAAGGCTTTGTTGCCTAAGAGAAAATCTAAGACATTCATGGCAAGCAGATTGTTCCAGACAATACGAAATGAAAAAAAATTACTCTTGAAAATTTATTCATGTGTTGGTGATCATTTTGGGTTAATTGTTATTTAAGAGTAATGGATGCTTACAAACCCAACTGAAAATAAGGGTATTATGCACACACACATATATAGGGGACTAATCAATTGAGAACCCTCAAAAAGGTTGCTTTCATGTGTTGTGAAACAATGCATGTGAAAATACAGCGTTGTTTTTCAATGTGATTATTTTTAATGTCTATTTTTTATTCCACATGGTGAAACAAGACTGTACATTTGCATGCATTGTTTCACCTTGTGAAACAACACATGATCTATGGTTTTCACGATTCTCCTCCTTTTTGTGGTTCTCATTTGATTATACCCCTATATATATTCCAAAATTTGGTCGTGCATCTATGATATTGATGCAATTTGAGGAGGACTAACCTAGTCATTAGCACAGGATATATATTGGCCTTTATTGTTTGAAATTATGACATCATGCTCGTCTGGGTATCACCAAATATATATGTTTGACAACCATATCATTTTGTAATAGTTATGCAGTCAGTTTGGTCTTTGATATCCCTCTATTGCCTTTTCTACTTCTCGTATCTGACAATCGATGATAATCCTCATCTCAACTGATTTCCATTCTTAGCTACCAAATGATGATATATTTGCATATTCATTTCACTTTAGGGTGTATTGGAAATACTCCACTGATGCTTGCTAAGCCACAAACTTTCATGAATGTTAGCGGTGAGTCTGTAAGTAAGCTCATCTAATGGTACATCTGTTACTGTTTTTCTTTCCATTTCCTTCTTATACAGTTTATTGACTTCTTGATTTCTTTTTAAAAGGTTGGAGCAATTGTTTCTTTCTATAAGATTCCACCGAAGCAAGTACTTGTGGTAAAGTGTCTAATCTGTTTTTGGTTTTTTGTATCTCCTTTCTAAATACTTTGGACTCATGGTAAAGTGTGTAACTTGCAGATTTATGATGACTTAGATCTGCCTTTTGGAAAGTTGCGGTTATTGCCAAAAGGTGGACACGGAGGACACAACGGGTAACAACCATGCGCCACTATTACTTGCTTTTATAGATGTGTTGAACTATATTTAACATCTTGAAATCGATCATGTGATTTGGTCTTTGAAGTTTTTGAAGTCAAATCGTCTGATTGTCTCATAGGTATCCCCAGCTGGTTCTGAATAAGGGTATCTAAACCTTGTGGTTAATGAATCCAGTATATTTCACACAGAGGTAGGGTATGAGGAGGGGACTTTACCATATAACTGATATAGTTCCAAACACAAGAATGCCTAGAAACCTGTAGAAGGTCATTTAGGGCTTGTTTGTTAGCAGCTTAATGAGCTTAATGGGACTCGCAGCTTATTCAGTCAGCTATATATTACTGTTTGGTAGTGTCTTAGGGGCTGTTTGGTTGGTTTTCCGATAAGTCCTATATGGATTAAAAGCTTTTTGTGTGGATTAATCTGTCTGTATAGAGTGAGGAAGGTTTTTCATAGATGGAAGTACCGTGTTTTTTAATTGGGAGGGGAAGGTTTGGAAAAAACTTGGCTGTCTGCATAAAGCTCCCCCAAGAACCTTACCAAATAAGCCACTTTCTATATCATTAAGTCACTACCATACAATCATGTATAGCTGACTGAATAAGCTGTGAGTCTTATTAAGCTCATTAAGCAGCTAACAAACAGGCCCTTAGTGATATAGAAAGTGTCTTATTCAGTAAGCTTCTAGGGGTTGCTTTATGCAGAAAGCCAAGTTTTTTTTCTATATCCCCCCCCCCCTCCCAATTAAAAAACACGCTCCTACCCTTTATAAAAAACACCTCCCAAGCAAAAGCTTTTCCAATCTATATAGACAGATTAACCCACAATGATAATTTTATCCATAAAGGACTTACCGGAAAAACTAACCAAACAGTCGCTTAGCTAAATAACCCTTATCATATCAAGTACCTCCCTGGCTCGTTTTCAGGGCCTAAATTTTATCTGTTCTTTACTCTGTCTAGCGGTCTACTGCTTTCATCACAAACATCATGACATAATGCATATGTTATGATTCTATCCACAGTTCATTCTCGACCTGCAGCAACTCCAGAATGGTTTCCTAGTTATTTTTTCTTGATTTAGCATATGGCCTATAATGATGCTTGACTATACCTTTGTTCTTATAGGATGAAGAGTGTGATCAATCACCTGAAAGGAAGCCGTGACTTCCCCCGTCTACGTATAGGTTGGTCGACCACCTTTTTTTATTGTTTTTACTAAACATTTCTACGATTATTATGTAGTACTGAGTTGGCCAATGTCTATAGGCATCGGGAGGCCTCCAGGCAAGATGGAAGCTGCTACCTACGTTCTTCGGCGATTTAACAAACAAGAAAGCGAGGAGGTATTTAACTTAACGCTCGCCTATAGCAAACAAATGAGTGAGTAGAGGCGGAACTAGAAAAATTTCCAAGCGGGGGCACAAAATAATTGAAGTAATATAAAATAAAACAAAATTTAATTATAGAAAAAGTACTCCCTCTGTTCTATAATAAGTGTTACATTACTATTTTAATTTGTCCCTTTTCAAAAGTAAATGTTTGTTTTCCCATTTTACCCTTAATTACGAGGTGGAGAAAGTTATATCAATATTTAAGGGTAAAATTGTCCGTTTGTTAATTAAAAAGTGCAATAATTACATATTCCTAAAAACCATGTGTCATTTTTATTGTGGACATTTATTTTGGGACAGAGGGAGTACAATTTGATAAAAGAAAATGACATACAACTGGTTTCTTGCAACACCGTTCATTATTTTTATCTTCTTTGCGTTGTCGTTACCAAAAAATTTAAAAAGTGCCAAAGGAATTTGAACTTGTAACCTGTAATACCACATATGATGGAACTAGCGGTAGGTCACAACCACTTTCTAAGCGAGCATACATCAAAGCGGATGCATCTTCAAAACACCTAAAAGAATTCTATTATGCCGGGACAACAGAGAGAGGCTCGAGCACCCCTAGGCTATTACTGTATCCTCTCCCGACTGAATGACTGATCATATTCCCGTGTGTTTTGCAGCTGGATTTCACATTCCAAAATGGGGTCGAAGCGCTTCGAATTCTTTTGCTCCAAGGTTTTGATAAGAGTGCGACATTCGTGAATAGTCCGAAACCTTTGAAGCATCTTCAATGAAGAATTTGTTTAAAAGCCAGACGAATGGAGGTATAACTGTAGAACATCGATTACGTCGTGAAACCCTTTTTCCACACGAAGCCACAATGAAGGTATATAAGATATAAGTATCGGCTAACTCTGTGCTGGCAACCAACCATTTTATAAATTGTTTTCGACATATAATATAGCAATACGTACGAACTAGCTATTTTAAAAAGCCATTGTTAGGTAATTTAATCACGGTTTCATCGATCTATTCTATGGTTAAGATCGGTTTAAAATTTTTGTAATAGAAATGATTGGGTTTTATGTTCATTTACAGTAATGTTTTTTTTTTTATAATTCGGTTATCATATTGTAAAAACCAATCCGTGTTGACTTCGAGGGCTGGGCTCCTTGCAGCAATCCATAAACCCGACTGTGGGTTTTTGGGTCAGCTTATGTGCATCGACTAATCCTTGGGACGACCAGGCCTAAAGTCGTCGTTGGTGAATCTTAATGGCCACAAGAGCTTTCGCAGGGCCTGGATTTGAACTGAGTCACTCAGCCAAGGGATTTAGCCGAGGGTTGTTGGATACAAATCATTTTGCACGAACAAACTTTTTCTTTGACGTGATTGGTGTGACCGACATCCAAGGTTAACGTCAACTAGGTTCGAATCTAGGTGCTTAACACTTCAAGATTCAAGTGCCCCAATTATAACCGGTTTGATCCGAGTCTTTTGGATAAATATTCCTTTAAAAATCTGCTTCGCGTAAAAACGTAGAAATAAACTTGAGGGTCATTTTGCAACACTAAGGGGTTGTTTATTTACCTCTTAATAGTTTCATTAAGAGGTCACCTCTGAATTGTTAAGAGATAATCTTGTTTGGCAAAAAAAAGTATGTCTCTTAATGGTTTAAAACCCTCTGAATGATTTTGTATCATGAATCTCTCTTAACCATTAAGAGCCCTAATTTCATTGTACACAATTACCAAACAATTATATATCATTTTGCATTATATCATGAGAGCTTCTTAATTATTCTGACCACTTGATCATTCTGCACCTAATCATTCAGCAATTACCAAACAGCCCCTAACGTTTAAAATTGTTATTAGTCAAACTAATCTTCTTCTTTTTATTTGATTAACTTGGATATCCAACCCGTTATGCAAGCCGACTAATCCCAGGACAACCACCTGCTTTGCGGGTAGCCTGGAGTTACCGCATTTGAACATTTGTGGCCACAAAGAGATTTTTATTTCTCTTCGGATTTGAACCTGGGACTTTCGGACACTTTTGATCTTTGGAGTCAAGCTCAGACCAATCATACACCACCCTTGTAGTTAGAGTGACGACAGTATTTCTAAGTGTGAGTGAAATTGAGTTGTAAAATTGTTTTTCGTTGTAAGCTGAAGGACAAAAGAAAGCACGATCATCTTTTCATTTATCATGAATTATGAACGTGATTTATTTTACAATATTTGTAATATCCATGATGAATATTCCAAAAATGTCCAAAACACATGACATGTTCTACTTTGTTTCATAGTTGACAACAAAACTTAAAATTGAAACTATGGGTTGTTTGTTCACCTCTTAATAGTTTCACTAAGAGGCGGTCTCTGAATTGCTAAGAAGTGAATCTTGTTTAGTAAAAAAAAAGTTTTTCTTAATGATTTTATAACCCTCTGAATGATTTTGTATTATAAGTGTCTCTTAATCATTTAGCATCCTAATTTTATTATAAATAATTACCAAATAATTATATTTTATTTCACAGACTCTTAATCATTTTACATCAAACCATTCGATAATTAATAAAATAATATATAAATTATAATAATTACAATTTTAATTGAACAAATGATAAAATTAAGAAAAGAAAGGAAAAACAGAAAGTAAAGGTATCTGGTTGAAAAGTGGCCTGACCCCACATGATCCAAACTCCCTCCATTGTTGATGGCGGACAACAGATTCTGCTTGATTTTTCAGATACAGAGACCTCCCACAACTCACCAAAAATGTCATCTCTTCGCTCTCCATTCCTATCTCCTCCTTCTTCTCCACTAAACCTTTCTTCATCTTCTCAGTTTCACTCGCTTTCCTTCAGATGCTCAAGAAATCAACGATCCCCTGCTTCCTATCCTCACCTCATCAAAGCCGAGCTCGATCCGAATACGGTATGTTTTTTTCAATTCGTTTCATGCTTCTTGCTTACTTCAATGTCGTCAAGTAAATAGTAGTTGTTTTATTTAGAATTTTGTTTTGTTTTGATTCGATTACTTTTGAATTGTGGTTGTTTGCGGTAGGTGGTCGCAGTAGCGGTGGGGTTGGTGAGCGTTGCGGTGGGAGTTGGTGTACCAATTTTCTACGAATCGCAGATTGACAACGCGGTACGTCGATTAATCCTTTCTTCTTCATTTTCGTTTCATATTCGTTTCATTTGTCAATTGGATTAACCTCCATAATACTGATAGTTTGTTTTTGATCTATGAGAATGAGGCTCGATTTGTGTTTCTTCTGTTTAATTAGTCCAAATGTATATTATTTAATTCGATTACTCGGTATATGGATGGATGATGAAACATACGTAGCCCAAATCAAACAGTAATCTACTATAATGTACATATTCAAAATATGGTATTAGTAGATATTGAATGTGATACTGATATTGAATACTATTGATGCCTTTTACCGATATAAATGGGACAAGTGTTAGATTGGGTAAAAGTGTAGTTTGGGACCTTTGGGTAACCACAGACTAAGGGGCGTTTACCAAAAATTTATTGGGTAAGTTCTTATCAGGTGTCACTTACATTACCGGGTGAGCATGGCCAAGACTGAGAATCTTACCCGATAAGAGCCATAACAAGGATCAATAATCTTATCCGGTAAATGAGGGAGAGACTCTTACCTGGTTAGCACTTACTAGGTAAAGATGCTTACCAACAATATATTTTGATGGACGAGAATGTTACAGATAAGTGAGTATGGTGACTTTTACTAGTAAGCGTTTAGTAAATGGTCCCTAAGAGAGCCTTTCCTTGCTTACTGAGTCAACAGAGAGTAAACAACCTCACCTCTTCACGGTCCCAGGTAAGTGTCTCTTACCCAGTAGGAGGCGGTAAGAGACGGTCAGCATTAGCAAACAACCCCCAATGTGAATTGTATATTGGATTATGGGATAGATTGTCTTAACAAAAATGTATGTGCTGCAGGCAAAACGAGATAACACACAGCCGTGCTTCCCCTGCAGTGGAACCGGGGCACGTAAGTTCCTCTCTTTCCTCTTTCACGCTTTTTCTTATTAATATCGCTTGGTATCAACTGGATTATGTCAAAATTTTAGTACACAACATATAACTGCAGATAGCATGTACTCCTGTCGTCTCAAAATAAATGTACATTGTGATTAAGGCACACAGTTTTTGAAATGTGTAATTATTACACTCCTTAATTAACTAAATGACAATTTTACTCTTAATAGCAGAGGGAGTAATGAATTTCTCCATCTCATAATTTATAGATGTGAAGCAAGATTGCTTGCATTTAGTTCTCAATTTCTCATCACATTATGGAACTGATATTTCCATCACACTTAACATATCAAGCATAGAAACTCATAGACCATGTCTACTTTGGTTCTCAAGAGATCTTTTCGAGAGTAAACTAGTGGGGTTCCACATATTTATGAAAGCGGTCCACTTTTAATGGTATGCAATATCTAAGTCCACATCATCGAATCTCATGCCTGTTATTCTAATTTGAATAGATGTCAAAATTCTCTTGTTCCAGAGTCGTGCAGATTTTGCACCGGAAGTGGTAATGTAACGGTTGAGCTTGGAGGCGGCGAAAAAGAAGTGTCGAGATGCATAAACTGCGATGGTGCTGGTTCATTGACTTGCACCACATGTCAAGGCAGTGGAATTCAACCTCGATACCTTGACCGCAGGTATTGCTCCGCTGCGATCTTTTTTGTCTGAATGATGCAAATGAATATTTTCTAGTTATTCGTGGGTGTCTGGTCAACTTATACGTACCTCGACTAATCCAATGAGCCCTAAAGTTAAAAACCGGCAAACCCTCAGGTGGCTCTGAGGGGACTTGGATGATCTCTTGGGAGCAAACCCAATGTCTTACGAGTTACTCACGGTTACGATGCAAATGAATATTTTTCCAAAGAAACTATCTTCTTTAATCCCAAATATCAACTAAAAACAATATCTTAATATATATATATATATATATATATTGGATGTTAGTTAAATTATAATCTGTGGGAATTGGATTGGATCAGTTTGGTCTTATTGGATCCTAAATTGTCATCCAATAACCAAACGATCCAATTTGGATGTTGAAATCTTGGATCCAATCCAATTGCAATTAGATATTCAATTATGGTCTATCAATTCTAGTTGGATCAGTTATTTATAATTGAATCAGATGACTTTGTGCACAGAGGCGGATCCAACCCTTAAGGACCAGGGGGAAAGGCCCCCACCAAAAACGTTTGTTGACTGGCTTAAATTTTCTATTTTCACCCTCGTCTAACATGGTTTCCCCCAGTCTCATATGGCCATATGTTTGCCTCCTCCAAGTCCCATTCAACATGCCCCACCCTATTAAGTTCCTGGATCCGCCACTGTGTTTGCCCATCTGTATTAAATCATAACTGATGAAATTTGTGATTTGCATTGGCAGAGAATTCAAGGATGATGACTAGAGAGATGTTTTTGAGGTAATTAACCTCATTTACTGTAAAAGATGAATGAACATCTTTCTTTCTTCCATTTTCATATAATATATATTTTCTTTTGTAAATTTCCTGAATTATTTAATTGTTGTTGAGCCATTTTCCCCTTTATAAGAGCTACAAATTGTTGATATTAAGCATCTCTATTTGAGTTATATGCATGATGAGCTTATTCATCTCGTAAAGTTAAATGGCTTAGCCCATGGTTTGCCAAGTTTGAATAACTGAGGTGTCGGCTTCGATCATTCAGTCTTCATCAAATCCGAAATTTCATGTCCTCGGTCTGTCCACCAATCACGTGAAAACACGTTATTGTTCTATTAAAAGAGAGAGTAAATAAGAATTAATTAAAAAAAATAAGGATGTGTCTACATGGAACGAAGTCATGAACTACCCGTTAGGGGTGTGCAGAAAATCAACCGATTCAATTGAAACCAACTAATCCAATTAGAACCGACTGACAATAATTGGATCGGATATTGAAAATTTCAACATCCAATTTGGATAGGTCGGTTCTCGGATGTATGTCCAGAATCGACCGAACCGATCAACATTCAATTAATCATCTGATGACCATCCAGTTGTCCATCCAATCATATTCAACTATCATCCAATTAATTTATTTTTAAATTGATTAAACCGGAATTTGTTTTATGTGAGGCTTTGAATTTTTAACTTATCTTGTGTTGGTTTTAACACATATTAAAAGTGATTAATCAATTTATTTCATTGTTGGAAAATTGATTTAAATTAACACACTTGATGAATTTAATCCCAACGGATTATCCATTGGATATCCAATAAAAGTATCCAATGGACGGAACCGAACCGATCCAATATGAGATTTCAATGTAAGGTTCTTATTAGCAAAAACTGAATTGACTTGTGGAAACCTCATTGTCGAGAGTTCTTACAATAACCTTATTCTTTTTAGTTTATTGTACAAGAACCTTGGTTCTTACATTGAAGTTTGTGAGAAATGATCTTTTCCCGGTTTTTAATTCATTTTATTGACTTTATAATTATATTGATATTGAAAAACACAATAGGACCCACAAAAAGGAGATTCTTGTAATAACTATCATTGTGAATTTTTAATATAGTTTCTTTTTTTATTAACCTGGATATCCAACCCGCTATGCGAGCTGACTAATCTCATGGCGACCACCTGCTTTGCACATAGTCTGGAGTCACCGCATTTGAACCTCCGTGGCCACAAGGGGATTTTTATTTCTCCTTAGATTTGAACATGGGACCTCCTGGTACTTTTGACCTTTGGAGCTAAGTTCAAACCAATCAGACACCACCCTTGTGGTTAAACGTGCAAAAATTAATTTATTGAGTTAGAGATATGGCAGCAAAACGTGTAAAAAGAGGTTCTTATAGGAACTTCCATTGCAGATGTTCTAATAGTTTTTAAAGAATCTACACCTTTTAAAAAAAAAAACATTTTTACAAGGATGCTCTAAGAGCACCCCGTTTACACTTTTGTTGTCACATCACTTCCAACTCATCAAATTAAAAACACTTGTAAAAGTCCATAACGGTAGTTCTTATAAGAACCTCCTTTTTTTTGGGTCACATGTATTTTTCAACATCAATAATTATTACATATATATAACATTAATAATTATAAAGTCAATAAAATATAAAAAAAACTAGGAAAATATCCCTTATCAGAATATTCATGGTAAGAACCAAAGTTCTTGAATTCTTGTACAATAATCTAAAAATGATAAGGCTTTTATAAGAACTCTCCGTAAGAGGGTATTCCTACAAGTCACTTCACTTTTTTACTTGTAAAAACCTTGCATTGGAGATGCTCTCAAAAACTACCATTGTGGAGAGTTCTTATAAGAATCTCAAACCTTTTAAGTTATTATACAAGAACTTTGGTTCTTAGCATTAAGTTTACGTGAAGTTATAATTTTCTAGTTTTTATTTTATTTTCTTAACTTTATAATTATTATTGATGGTGAAAAATCAGACCGACAAAAAGTGGGTTTTTATAAGAAGTATCATCTAATTTAATTAGTCGAAGATGATGGTAACAAAAAGTGCAATACAAGGGAAATTACCCAAAATGACCATTTTATACACGGTAAGCTAACAAAATGACCACCAAAATTGCTCATGGAGAGTGATTTTGACTATAAGGTACAGATGGTTCTCACATTTATACCATTTTGGGGGGACAAAAATCAGATATATATGATGAGGCGATTTTGACATCTATTATGTTTTCTAGTGAAAACAACTTATAACGCAACGATTTGACACATCAATGACGATTTGACACATCAATGACGATTTGACAAGACCTTGGAGGCGATTTTCATTGGTATTTTGTCTTGTTTAAGATCAAATGTAATATATACATATAAATCTTGTAGTATTTTCTATAAAATTGTAGTGATCCAAACACTTCTACTCTCACAACTCTTAACCCTTAAACACAATATACCATAACAACCCATAACACAAACATGAAATCACGTCAAAATGATAATAGCTCCATGTATGTTCAAAGTGGTGGGTTAAGGGTTGTGAGAGTAGAAGTGTTTGGATCACTATAATTTTATAGAGAATACCACAAGATTTACATATATATACTACATTTGGTTATAAAAAAGACAAAATATCAATGAAATTGCCCCCAATGTCTCGTCAAATCATCATTGATGTATCAAATCGTTGCGGCATAAGTTATCTTCACTAGAAGATGAAAATAGATGTCAAAATCGTCCCATTTTCATTTTTTGAGGGCGATTTGCCCATATTCATATATAATATATAGTATAGATGTGGTACGCGGATTGGGATCAGAATTGAATATTGTACGACATGATCCCCATCCAGCCCCGATGTTTTCGTTTCACTAACGATAAAGGCCAGAAAGCGTGGGACCGGTAATGTCGAATCTAAGAACGTATTGTGCCTTCTACAGGGTCCATTCATTCTTACTGACTTAGCCACTCATTCGTATCTTATAGTCAAAATCAACCCAAAATAATCAAAATCACCTTCGAAGAACGATTTTGATAGTCATTTTATAAAAAAAAAAAAAGCTTTAAAAAATGATCATTTTATTAATATAAAGCTTATAAAATGATTATTTTGGGTAATTTTTCGCAACATAATTCGAGTTTCGAATAAAGTGTAGAGTTACGAAGGTTTCTAAAAGATCCAACGTGTTGGGTTTAGTAAACTGGTAGTGAAAGCAACGGGGCAACAACCCCGATTGTGTCACCAATGACAATTTGTCGGTGCCCTTTCCTATTTTAGCATCTCTACCGACACACACCCACAACCTAAAACCCTCTTCAACTTCTGAATCTCAGCACAAACATTCACCGCATTGCCTCTGAATTGCCTTTAGATCCATACGTTATCATCTACCAAATCACTCCAGGTTTGTCAAATCTTCTCATTTTGATCAAAACCAAAACCGCCATGATTCGATTCAATTTTTTCTGTTAAATTTCAAGTATGCATTGCTCAGTTCATGTTATTACATTGATTCTAATTTGATTTTTGTTTAGATCTGAGGGATTCGTTGGAAGTTACTTTCAGAAGTTGAGGGAAATGGGGAAGGAAAAGAAATCTGGCGGTTGGTTTGGGTGGTTTATAGTGTTGGTTATATTGGGCGTGGTGGCGTTAGCATTAGGGCTTACTTTGAGGAATAAGTTTCATCACGGTGGCGGTGCTGCTCCTGTTCCCGGTCCTCCTGGAGCGGTTACGAAGAAGTACGGCGATGCTCTCAAGATCGCTCTGCAGTTCTTTGATATCCAAAAATGTAAGCCAAATCGGCTTTCTGATGCTATTATATCTGAACATATATATGATCCAATGCTCGTTTTGTTACTATTGCTCCAATTCTTTGAGTGAAGAATCCTTCCACTTATGGCATTCCCAAATAAACTCTAAAGATCCCTCAATTCAGTGCTCTAAATTCCTCAATTCAATCTATTCCTAATATCTAATGGAAATTAAGAGGTGATCTATTGATCCATCTATAGTTGTTTACTGATTGGGTTAAATGGATGATCCAAAGTGGAAGTGAGTGAAAAAGTAAACATACCCATTCATTTTAGTTTCTATAAGTATAGTTTTCTTGTTGCAGTGCTGTTTTTACTATGGTTCAAGATCTATGTTTATGTACATTTTGTGATTGTGGAAAGAATTAATAACAACATTGAACTTCATCAAAAGAAATTACTAAAAACAGAAAATTTGTGTGTTATTGTTGTGGGAATTTTCGTATTTTTTTTAGATTTTAAGATTTGGGTTTGACTCCTAAAATTCAGAGAATGGAGGGACTACAAATTTGGAAAAGAGCTTTGTTTGATTGCTTTAAGAGATGCCATTTCCACTTCATCACTAATGATCATTGAAAACCCGGTAAATTTTGTTTTCATCGAAAAAATATGTGTTTCGTCAGATCGTTTGGATTTTTTTTGAAACCGTGGGTGTCTGGGCCAACTTGCGCACACCTCGATCAATCCCATGGGGCATTGAAGATAACAACCAAGAAAATCCCCGGGGGGAAAATTTACGGGGCCACCCATGGGGAGGAGTCCCTAGGCCTAGCCTTTGTTTGATAGTTGAGTCCTCAAGCTTCGGATAAGTTGACATTTGATGACATTTGATTGCATCGTTATTCATTAGATTCAGAGACCAAAATGGTGTTTTTGTTTTGTAGCTGGTAAATTGGTAGATAACGAGATACCATGGAGAGGGGACTCTGCTCTACAAGATGGAAAAGATGCCGACTTGGATCTCTCTAAGGGTATGTACGATGCTGGAGATCATATGAAGTTTGGATTCCCAATGGCTTATACAGCCACGGTCCTTGCTTGGGCTATCCTCGAATATGGGGATCAGATGAATGCAGCAGATCAATTGGAACCTGCCAAAGACTCGCTTAAATGGATTACCGACTACCTTGTTAATGCTCATCCAGAACCTAATGTGCTTTACATTCAGGTAACTCTAATCCGTAAACTCGTATATGTCTTCCTCGTTTTAAATAAGAAAATTTATTATTTCATCAATCAAAAAGAACGAAAAAGATTCACTTAAACTTCCGGTTATTTTACTTGTCACGTTATTGAAATGCTACTTGAGTAGCGTTTCAGAAACCTATCAGATATGCTAACTAAACGGACTTTTTCAGTTAGCTCAAAATTGTGGTTGCCAAACACAACCTAAATACTTTATTCATGTCTTCAATTTTCTCTTCAGGTAGGTGATCCAGATGTTGACCATAAATGTTGGGATAGGCCTGAAGACATGAGCGAGAAAAGGGCTCTGATACAGGTGAACGCTAGTACCCCCGGAACGGAGGTTGCAGCCGAAACTGCAGCGGCAATGGCATCTGCATCGCTCGTGTTTAAATCAACTGATTCTACGTATTCGAGCTTGCTTCTAAAGCATGCTAAAGAGTTGTTTACATTTGCCAATGAACATAGAGGATCTTACAGTCAGAACATCCCTCAGGTCCAAACATATTATAACTCAACCGGTTATGGTGACGAGCTTTTGTGGGCAGCTAGCTGGCTCTATCATGCAACAAGAGATCGTACGTACCTTGATTTTGTTACTGGAAGTAACGGAGAAACCTATGCTAATTGGGGAAGTCCTACTTGGTTCAGCTGGGATGACAAGCTTCCTGGAATCCAGGTAAATTTGGCTAGCATCAGAATATTTGATCCTGAAGTTAATTAACTACAACAAAATCGGCTTTATAGGATGCAAAAAATGTCTTAATGTCATAATAGACTGTTTTATAGGACCAAACAGTTGTGCGTCCTATGTGAAGGTGTTAGAGTAAGTTGAAAGGACGCTTGGTGGCGTTTTAACAAGTTCTTTAAGACACTTAAAATGTCTTTTAAGTGTCATATAAAAAGATGTGTTCATAGGAAAAAGTTAAGAGAAGCCAAGGAAAAAACCTGTTAAGATACCCAAATACATTCTCACATCCTATTGCAACACTTTTATACATGACCACACAATTGTTTGATCTTATAAAAACAAGTGTCCTATAAAAGATGATCCATAGGAAAAAGATAATATGACACTTTATTTCACGAGCGTCCTAAAAGACTTGTTAGGATGCCCAAATACGTCCTAACATCCTATTGCAAACACTTTTACATAGGACACACAATTGTTTGGTCCTATAAAGCAGTCTCTTAAAACATGAGATTTTGTTGTAGTGATCGGTGATGGCCATCTTAGTGCTCTATTTGGTGCTGGGGTTCATTAATTGGCTAATGCTAAATACTAATCATAATAAGGGGAAAACATAAACCTTATAAAGCATAACTGATAGGGAGTAGCATGGATTTCTGATGAAGTAGTTCTTGATTCATTATTTGGATTAAGAAATTCATTCCCGTAAGTTATTTTGGATCAATGCAGGTTCTTTTGTCAAGGGTAAGCTTCTTTGATTCAAAAGTTGCTACAAATTCGGAGAGCCTCAAGAAGTACAGAAAGACCGCTGAGGCTGTTATGTGTGGTCTCCTTCCAAAATCTCCAACGGCAACATTAAGCAGAACAAGAAGTATATATTTCTTCTCTATGTTTCACTCTTCTGCTTTAAACTTCTGGTAGTATGGATAAACTCATGCATTTTTAAACTTAGTTCCATACTCTGGCACAATATCAAACCACTACCAAGAAAGAATAAGAAAAACTTAAGGGGTCGTTTACCATACGCATACTGGGTGTCACTTACCTCACCAGGTGTGAGCATGGCAAGGATCAAGAATCTTATCCGGTAAGTGAGGGAGACACTAGCAATTCATTTTGATGGCCGAAAATGCTACCCAATAAGGTAAGTGAGGGTGGTGACTTGTTGTTAAGTGCTTACCCGGTAAATGGCCTCTTAGAGTATATGTTGGAGTCCTCATCGGCTAGATTTTGACCCTTTTTAAATATCTCACTTCTCTCCTCAAGGGTTCTTTCATAGAGTAATCTAATGGGGTTCCACATATTCTCGCAGTGTCGTTTATTTAATTTCATTTGAATTGTCTAAACGTTGTTCACAAAGAGGTTATTCAAATCTATGCCGTTCCAGTAACCAAAGAATAATCTTATGCTGAACCATATGATAATAGAAAGTTCTCATATTATTTTGTTGATATATATATTCATTGTGATGTGATCACATAAACAACCGCTCTACTTTTTGGGGTAGATGTCAGGTTTGTGTCTGTCAGTCTGTATGCATACCCCCCCGGGCCCCACCTCTGGGTAGGATATTTTAGGTTGGTTTGGTTTATTCATGTTGATGTGAATCCCGTCATATCTCACTAAAGCATGTCAACAACACAGATGGTCTTATATGGATCAGCGACTGGAACGCTTTGCAGCATCCTATAGCTTCCGCTTTTTTGGCCGTCATTTACAGTGATTACATGCTTACATCTCAGACGCAAAAACTCCATTGTGATTCGGACACGTTCTCACCAGCTGATCTTCGGAAGTTTGCCATGTCACAGGTATGCTAACATCATTTATCCCCAACACTTGTTAAGGTATTCAACAACCTGCTCTGCTCTTTGAGGTAGAGGTCAAGTCTGCTTAAATCTTACCCCTTAAACCCTACTCTTTGGCAGGATTTACTGGGTTTGTTCGGTTTACTTGTTTTGGTATTGAACAACAGCTCTACGCCTCTACCTTTTGGGGTAGAGGTCAGGTCTGCGTACATCTTAACCAGACCCTAGTTTTTAGCAAGATTTACCGGGTCCGTTTGGTTTATTTGTTCTTGTATTGATACAATACCAATTTTCACTAGGCTAATTACGTGTTGGGAGACAATCCGATGAAGATGAGCTATCTTGTCGGATATGGCGACAAATACTCGCAATACGTGCATCATCGAGGAGCCTCGATACCTAGTGATTCAAACACAAACTGCTCTACTGGTTGGAAGTGGCTAGAGTCGGATGAACCCAATCCTAACGTTGCAACTGGAGCACTTGTTGGTGGACCGTTCCTAAACGAGTCATATGTAGATTCACGTAACAACTCGATGCAAACCGAACCAAGCACGTACAACAGTGCGGTTATCGTCGGGCTTCTTTCAGGTTTGGTTACAACGTCATCGGTTGTTACATCTTTCATGTAACGGTCCGTGATTATGAGCATATAATTTGTATTATAATCTTGCGTGTGTAGGCTCCCCATTAGAAATATACAACTTATGTGATGAGTGTATATAGTCTTAGTTACCTTATTCGTTATCAATTTGTTTTGAATTGAAATTCTGAGCCTAGTATGATTTTTGTATGAAATTATATCAAGTCCGTATTCAAATTCTGAACCGTGGTGTCTTATTGGTTTGAGCTTCAGCTCCAAAGGTCAAAAATACATGAAGGTTTCAGGTTCAAATCTAAGGAGGAATAAAAATCCCCTTGTGGTTACGGAGGTTCAAATGCGGTGACTCCGAGCTATCTGCAAAGCAGGTGGTTAATCTGGGATTAATCGGCTTGCATAACGGATTAGATATTCAGGTTAAAAAAAATGGTTGAAACCCAACTACACCTATACAACATGTATTATGCATTTCTGTAGTCAAAATCCACCTGGTGGCTGCCACACATAACCCATGTTGCACCTCACGCTCAATCAGTGCCTCCTTCATCTATCTATATATATATATATATATATATATATATATATATATATATATATATATATATACATGTAATCACTTGAGAACCACCACCACTACCACGGCGGCGCCACCATGACTTCCTTCTCCACTCCTCCTACTACGACCACCTTAATGACGGTGCTCCTCCTATTAATGATCACATACCTACCATCCCCTACCACCACCCAACCCAACCCGCCGCTAAACCCCACTATCGCGGAATGCGCACCCCGAATCCTCCCGCTAGCCTCTTGTGCACCATTTGTCCAAGCCATCTCGAAAATCCCAACACAATTATGTTGCGATAATCTGAGACACGTCAACGACCTGCAACCCCGATGCTTGTGCTTATTGCTCAACAACACGGCTTTGAGCGCTAGTTTCCCCATCAACACGACGCTTGCTATGCAACTCCCGTTTATTTGTAGTGTTCGTTTCGACATTGTTTCTTGTTCAGGTTAGTTTGATCCTATTAAATTCCCATTTTTCATGATATTATGCGTGGATCAGATATATCATGGCGAATTCTCGTCGTATTGTTGATAATCAATCATATTTTCCAACTCTCTTAACCTTTGTGGTTTAACGAAGGCGCGACGCCTTTACCGTCTGCATCACCTACACCGCTCGTTTCTCTGGGGTCGACTACCAATTCCACGGTTGCTTGTAAGTAAAACTGCTTTGAGCTTTATGGGTTTTTTTTGTTTAGAGCTTAATGGTATGAAAAGCTTTCCTTTTAGCTTTAAGTTATTGTTTATTTATGGCTTAATCGGCTTAATGATTAAGCCATTGACTAGTTCCGTTCAAGGCATATTTGTTAGCAGCTTTAATGAGCTTCATGAGACTCACAGCTTATTCAACCATCTATATATGACTCTTTGGTATAGGCTTTATGATATAGAAAGTGACTTGTTCAGTAAATTTTTAGGGGTAGTTTTATGCACGAAGCCAAGTTTTTTCCAAGTCTGTCTTTCCAAAAAGAAAACACATTCCATTCATCTATGAAAAACCCTCTAAAAACCTTCCTAGTTTATACAAACTAATTAATACACACAAACAATTTTGTCCATACAACACTAAATAGAAAACCAACCAAGCGGCTCCTTAAGTGGATAACCCTCCCCGTTGCTTAATGTGTTAAGCCATTTTATTTCCAGACAATTAATATTTTTTTGTCATTCAAAAGATTTATCAAGCAATCATTTTTCATACACTAAACCCATACAGACGGGTAAAGTAGTAAAATTTATCATTCAGGAGATTTATTAATCCATAGAGATTTTTTAAACGACCAACAAACCCATATATTAATGCAGCTTCTATGTTGATGTTTATGTCGTGCGTTAATTTATTCGTGGCAGCTTCACCTATGGCAACACTCACTCCGAAACCTGGATTTATGGGATTCGGGTTTCATCAGAATTACGCTATGAAGTTAGAGGGACCGTCGCAGCTGCCGATGATGATAATGTTCGTTATAGTGACTTTTTCGTGCATGTCAACTAGCATGTTATATTAAATGCTTGTTACGCGTGTAGCATGGATTTCGTAGCTATGTATTGTTGCATTAGGTCGTTAGTTGACGGTTGGTAAATGTGTTTAAGTAACGTTAACGGTTTATAATGACTAAAATCTGTTATTTTAAAAACGATTATTCATATGTGACAGGATAACTACATACATATGATCATGGCAAATGCGGAATGCTAATGCCACTATGGTCTTCCCGATCAATATAAAATTATGTTTGACAAACTAACTGATAAGTTAGATGTTAACTGAAAATGTGTGTATTACAGATTCGAGAATCACCGTTAACAAATTTTTGTGCATTTTGAACCCTTGGGGGGAAAAGTCACCCCAGACCCCAGCAAACCAATTATGATTTTATGAAACTTAGGGGTCGTTTATCAAAATACTTATCCGATAAGCGCTTATCGGTAGAAGTCAGCACTATAATATATTTTACCAGATAAGATTGTAATATATTAAAACGGTATTGTATACAACAATTTACCCGGTAAACACTTACCCGGGTAAGAGTCCTCACCATCACTTACCGAGTATGATTCTTCATCTCTATCATCGCTCTTACCGGGTAAGATTTTCAGTCTTTGTCATATGCATCAGGTGAGGAGAGTTATCCGATCCACACTTACCGGGTAAGTGTTTAGTAAACGACTGCTTAATATATATGATTTATGGTCCACTTTTTCAAGTTTTTTAAAAGCCAACTTTGAATCTTTCTTTAACAAGTGACAAACTGCATTTAATTCGATTTAAATAGGTAAATATGTAAAAAATGTTTATTTTATAAATATTAAATTATATAGTTTAAAAAATAAAAGCATGTTAAGTTCTATTTTTCTATGATAGATAAAATTGTACCAAAATGGAACCAACTTTCACCTAATTTTTACTTTTGGGAACCAATTTTCAAAATCGTCATTTTGGGGAACCAACTTGCACCTGATTTTTATTTTGGGAACCAACTTTCAAAATCATCATTTTGGGGAACCAACTTGAACCTAATTCCTATTTTGGGGAACCAACTTGCAAAATAATTATAAAAAAATAACTAAAAATCGTTTTTTCTTTTCCAAAAATTCATGCAATAAAATCTATTTTTCATTTCAAATCTCGTTTTTTTTTTTTTAATTTATATATCAAATTGAACATTTAAAAAAAATCCAAATTACCACAATAAAAATTGTTTTTTTACTAATGCAAAAAAATCAATTTAATAGAAAAAAATTAATTGATACGGATTGGTTAGATATAAAAATCTTGAATGTGATATTTAATATTTATTTTTTATTGCATCAATTAATTTTTTTTTATTAAATTGATTTTTTTTGCATTAGTAAAAACAATTTTTATTGTGGTAATTTGGATTTTTTTAAATGTTCAATTTGATATCTGAATTAAAAAAAAACGAGATTTGAAATAAAAAATAGATTTTATTGCATTAATTTTTGGAAAAAAACGATTTTTAGTTATTTTTTATAATTTTTTTGCAAGTAGGTTCTCCAAAATAAGAATCAGGTGCGAGTTGATTCCCCAAAATGACGATTTTGAAAGTTGGTTCCTCAAAATAAGAATTAGGTGCAAGTTGGAACCCAAAATAGGAATTAGGTGAAAGTTGATTCCATTTTGTTGCAATTTTCCCTTGTTGACATTGAGTATTAAAACATACATTTTTTTAAACGGTTAGGCAAACTCTACTTTTTTTTATTAACATGGATATCCAATCTGCTATGCGAGTCCGGATGACCATCCGTTGAAGTCATCGCATTTGAATATTCGTGGCTACAAGGACATTTTTATTTTTATTTTATTGGATTTGAACCTGAGATATCCATGCATTTTGACCTTTGGAACCCAAGCTCAAACAAATCGGGTACCACCTTTGTGATTAAAACTCTACTTTACGTATAAGTGTGATAACTAGAATGTCATCTTTAAAAACTTGTATACTCAAAGGAAGGAAAAGGGAGAAAAAAAAAAGTGAAGGAAAATAAAGGAAAAAGAAAGACATTTCTCAAAGAAATTTATTAAAATAGTCATTTTTCAGGGTTGGTTTCACCTTCTAGTCATTTTCTCTCCAAGTTTACTAAAATAGTCATATGTCTGCAAAAAAACCAAGTCTCTAATTGCAGACCCAGATAAACGACAAAAACATTACATTTTCTACCCTTGTTCACAAAAAAACTTACATTTTTTACCCTAGTATGAAAAAATTACATTTCTCACCCAGATCTGCAAAAAAAAAAAAAAAAAAAACTATAATTGCAGACCTATGGCTATTTTGGTAAATCTTGTAAAGAAATGTTGTGTTTTCAAGGTTTTTTTTAAGAAAGGAAAAGAAATAAAAGAACTTATTAATTAATTATAAGTTATTTTATATCTTTTCCTTTCTTAAAAAAAAAACCTTGAGAACACAACATTTTTTTATTTTCCCTATATTTTCTTTCCTTTTTCCTTCCTTTCATTCATAAAGGAACATGAACATACAACGTTAATGATTTTGAGATTCCGAAGTCAATGGATAAAAAATGAGGTTGTTTGGCAGTTGTTGAATAGTTTGGTGCAGAATGATTAAGCGGTTATAATGATTGTGAGGCTCTCATGATATAGTGCAGAACGAAATATAATTGTTTACAATGAAATTAGAGCCCTTAGGGTGCGTTTGGTGCGCAAACAGGACTGGACAGGACAGGACGGGACGGGACAGGACAGGACAGAACAGGACAGCTGTTCAGCGTTTGGTAAGACAGGACAAGACATGACAGAACTGGTTAAAATGACCAATTTACCCCTAGTGAGCTGTTTAGTGTTTTTTCACTACGAAATGCAAGGGGCAGTGGGTTCATCATCTTCATCCACAATATCAAACACATTTACCAAAATGCAAACACATTACCAAAATTCAAACACATTACCAAAATTCATCAAACATTACCAAAATTCATCAAACACATTACCAAAATTCAAACACATTACCAATGCAAACAGAAATGCAGGGGGCAGTGTTTGGTACATGCATCTGTGATTACCAATGCAAACAGAAATGCATCTCCATTGCTGCTCAAGTTAAAGTCACAAAAGTTGTTGATGCATCTGTGATTACCAATGCAAACACCCACAAACAGTTCCTTAGTTCATTACCAAACCAAAACTCAAACACAAATTGATGCAGGGAAGACACTGTTAATCGAACACAAATTCATTACCAAACCAAAATACAAACACAAATTCATTACCAAACCAAAGTTCATTACCAAACCCTAATTCAAAGGGAAGACACTGTTAATGAAGGAAGCGATGGTCGCCGTCGATGAAGGAAGCGATGGAGGCAGGAAGCGTACCGTCGATTGGAACAGTGGAGAAGAGAAGAACGCCGATCGGAACTCGCATTCGATGGTCGCAGACGATGGTCGCCGTCGATGGTCGCCGTTGATGAAGGAAGCGATGGAGGCAGGAAGCGATGGAGGCAGTGTGTTAGGTCTTGTGAAGGTAGAACTCGCGTGTAGGGGAAAAAGGGGTAGAGCCGGATCTGGATGAAGGAGACGAGTTGAGAGGACGAGAGAGGAGAGAGTGATTAGGTTTTGTAATTTTAGGGGTATATGGGTAAAATGCTTCCTTGTTCCACTTAGTTCCAGGGGGTGAGGAGGGACACGCTTGTTCCATATTTGTTCTAGTTAGTTCCACCTTGTTCCATATAAACACATGCCAAACATGGGACAAATGTGTTCTGTTATGTCCTGTCCCATCCTGTTCCGTCTACCAAACGCACCCTTAATGGTTAAGGAAGGACTCATACTACGGAATTATTCAGAGGGTCTTAGAATCATTAAGAGTGCCTACTTTTTTTGTCAAACAAGATTCACCTATTAACGATTCAGATGTTGCTTCTTAATGAAACTATTAATAGGCTGCCTCTTGGGTACAATTGTCTTTTTTTTTTATTATTAACAAAATACTAACTTTTTTTTATTCTTATATTAATAGAAATCTACTATCTTAAAATTTCATGTATTATTTATATCCACCAATTACATATATATTATTCTCTTCGTCTCAAATCAAATGTCCATATTTCTATTTGTCCCATAAAACAGGCTGTTTGGTTGGCTTTTTGTCTTGTATGGCTAAAGTTGTCTGCATGCATTAAGCTGTTTGCATAAATTGAGAATTTTTTTTGTTTGAGATGGTTTTTGATAGATGGAATAAACATGTTTTTTTAATTTAGAATGACAAGTTTGGAAAAAAAAATTGTCTTTATGCATAAAAATCTCTCTAAAAATTTACTGAATAAACCACTTTCTATATCATTAAGTCATTACCAGACGGTTTGATTAGCTGACCGAATAAACTATAAGTCTCATTAAGTTGCTAACAAACAAACACTAATATTCATTTTCAAAATCAAGTTTTTACTTTTCCAGTTTATCTTTTAACTATGAGTAGGTATATTCACCAGTTGACATCCATTGGATGTGAGGGGAACCAAACCGATCCAATCCGATCCGATTAACATTATCCAAACCGATCAAATCCAATCAAATGGATAATTGGATCGGGTCGGTTCCATTTATTTGATACTTTCATTAGATATTTCTAATGGATGATCCGATGAGATTGGATTCATCCAATGTGTTAATTCAATCAAATTATCTGACAATGATATAAATTAATTAATCATTTTTAATATGTGTTAAAATCAACACAAGAGACGTTAAAAATTAGAAGTCTCACATAAAACAAATTCCGATTTAAGCAATTTGAAAATAAATTGATTGGATGATAATTGAAAAATGGTTGGATGGACAACCGGATGATCATCGAATGATTAATTGGATGGGTAATTAAATGTTGATCGGTTCAGTTCGGTTCGATTTTGGTCGGTTCTAGACTGTCATCCCAAGAACCGACCGATCTAAATTGAATGTTGAAATTTTCAATCCGATCCAATCACAATTAGATATTATTCTAAACTGTCATCCTAGAACTGACCGATCCAAATTGAATGTTGAAATTTTCAATCCGATCCGATCCAATCACAATTGGATATCCAATTATGATCGGTTGATTTTCTACACACCCCAATTATGAGATACAAAATATTAAAAAATAATATTTATTTATTTAAAAATTCTAATAATTACGTATGTTTAAAACTAACGTCGAGAGAGAATGTAAATATGAATAAAAATTTAATGTAGAATTGATGAAAAAATGAGATAACAAGGTGTTTTTTTGGGGGGGTGTATTTTCCCGCCAAAATCATAGTTAGAGGAAGGGGCTGTTTGCTTATATCTTAATGATACCATTAAAAGGTAAGGTTCTTATTTGGACGTGATATTTTTTCAGGTTTGCCCTCCCTTTTTCTCTAATCGTCGTTCCTGGCTCTCTCGATTTCTCCAAGCGACGCTCTGTTCTTCTCGGTCGGCTGTAGGAATCGCCAGCAACCCTCTGTTCTATCATTCTCTTCTTCTTCATCAGTCACCATTATCGCCTTCTTCTCAGTCACCAATCGATTCACAGGTAAGACCTCTCAATTTCATAACTTCGCTCCCTACATTGTTGCTTATCGGTCAACACCAAATATAAGAAAAATAGAATCCGAGCAATTTGCTATTTTCCCCTTTTGTATCACTGTAATATTTTTCTTATTTGATATCACAATGGTCAGTTAAGTGGTTTGGGCTTCTAAGAGAAAGGAGCGAAGAGCAGATGCTCGTGATGGGTTAGGAATACATGGAACATATGAGATGGCTTGTCAGTAAGATTAGTGATGTCTTGTTTTAATATAGGGATGAACTGCATAGGGCTTGAAGTACCATAGTCTGCATGCCACTCATGGTGATAACACATCAGGAGGGACTAAATGTTTTCTCAAAAATCATGTGTGAACATAACTGACCTGCAAAGGGTCAAGTTGCAAATGAATATCTGATAGTCAGGCTCTGCAACTCCTACATTTAGGTAGTTCATATCAACTATATCGCCAAAATCATCTGCCAAAAGAAAAACAAACTTGCATCAGTTGAGAAATTCAATAGTAGGTTTAGATATGCACAAGTGGCCGGCAGTACAAATGGTCGAAGTCAATCATCAATAATGTAAGTTTGGAACCTTCATATATCGGTACGACATAATCTACATATTCAAGTATTATATCTCTATAGATGATTCCTCCTGGATCACATCCAATACCACTAGCACCCCTACCAAAATAAAACACAATCAAGAAGCCAGACGCAGATCTGAACTCCAAACTGTATATTTTCCTAGATATATACTTAATACCATAAGCATCCACTTCTTCCAATGCAAGGTCGTAAATTAACTAAACAACCTGACTCCCCATTCGTAGGAAATAAATAAAGCAAGATGCAGTATGGTTTGCAAGGCTTTTCTTTCACACTAGACCCAATTATGATGTTCCAAAAAATATCCCAATGTTTATTTCTTATAATCAAACGGTGCGACCTTTGAAAAAAATTTGGTCTATCCCTGCTGCTACAAAGTACCATACATTTATGGATACAGAACTTGCTCTGAACCAACTCATAAAGGCATGTGCAATGCATTCATGGGAGGCAGAGTATATGTCAAATTGTTTACCAAGTATCACCTCTTCCAAATTGATAGTGGAAAGACTTGTAGACTTTTAACTATGCTCGCATGGTAAAGTCTAAATCCTAGGTTATTGCTCATAGACATAGTCATATAAGTGTCACTGCTTTATGTATTTGAGATACTAGGTTGTGGTTGTATGCTTCAAACAGCAGAAACTCACTTGATCATCTYAATTTGTTGCCATCATATTAATTATTTTCTATTTTTTCATTTATAAATTTCCTTCAGAACTGTTGTCAAACGTTAATTTTCATTAAACACAAGACTGAGGGTAAAATGGTAATTTTATGTCATTCAGACTGTTCATTCAGAACAGTTTCCAAACAACCTTTTTCTATCTGACACTAAATCATACAGAGTCTCTTAATCATCCTGACCACTTAATCATTCTGCACTAAACCATTCAGCAACTGCCAAACAGCCCCGAACCCTTGTTCTCTCCAGGCCTCCGTCGATTATAGGGCTCAGTATCTTGTTTGTTGCTTGATTTGCTTGTGTTCTTGATTTTGTTTGTTGATTTGCTTCTGTATATTGTTGCTCGCTGATTTATTCCGATGATGAGCAGCTCTGTTCCTACTCGAACAAGTACAGAATCTGAAGCAGGGCCAAGTCCAGTGGCCAAGTCCAGTAGCCAAAGCTCTACTCGAGCTTTCAGAATTTCAGTCGGGAAGAGGAGAACTACTGCACTTGATGGCACCCTCAGTAGCGGACGATTTGTCTCTCCCCTATATCTCAGATAACGACCTCAAGGTTATTATTTTCTTCTTTGACTTGATTTCCCGACCCTTGAACCTCATGCCTCGTGTACACAAATCTCTTAGCAACTTGGTCTCTTTTCACTTCTAATTTTGTTTGTTGATTGCAACTGACTTTATGTTTTTCAAAGAAATTCTAATGTATATGTGTATAATTCATGGAAATTTACATCTGAGAGCGTGGAATCCAACACAAAGAGTAATGGATATGTGTAATCTTTAGAATAACTGCCCTTGTTGGAATCCTACTTCACACACAAAGCCGTAGGTCCAGCCACCTGTTCTCAAGGGTTGTGTTGATAAGTAGTACCATCTATGACGTGGAAACCCTAAGAGTGGCATGGATTAGATTAACTAAGGGTAGGATACTGATTTCTATATTTTGGATATCATTTCTGTATTATAACAAATTTCAACCTCATTTCAATTTCTGAAAATGTTTTCTATTTCTAGAGTTCATTTCTTGGTGTTAAAATAGGATATGTGATATGAGGTTATCAAATGAAGAATTGATGTTGGTTTTTTTCTCTTACAGCCATTTTTTGTGCTCCACAGAGGATCTACTCGCCAACAACGTATTAAGAAATCAGTTGGAAGGACCTGTAGAAATGTCAAGGTTAACTTGTCATCGTCATTGGCTGCTAGCCATGAAGCTGAAGTTGTGGGTGATCAGTTGGATGAGAACTTAAGAATGAAAAACTTTCACAATGCATGGGTGAAAATTGAATCGACCATTAAGGTTAGCCTCTCTATCTCTCAGTTGTAATATCTATTTGCACTTCAGATTGCTAAAATGTGCTACTGTGCGTAAAAGAAGTCAATATTTTTTCTAAACCTGTTCTTAACTGATGATGTTGAATCCCTTCATTGTTTTTCCTGACATATCATTTCCCTAAAACATCAAAGTAAAGAATCAAGAGGATATCTTGTCTGTGTAACTAATTAGCTGTAAGGGAAGGGCAATAACTGATATGGCATTGTCTTTTAATGTAGGATGTTTTGCACAACATCAATGCTGATGTTTTCAATGAGATAGATGGCTGGGTCCACAGATCATTTGGTGCAATTTGTTCAAGTGGCAAGCCTGATACCAACAAAGCCACTTGTTCATACCCCATTGTAACCGATGTTACAGCTAAGCAAATTTTCACTGCCTTAGTGGTAATGAGTAAGTTCCTTCTAAATCCAGTTGGTTCAAGTTATCAAATTTGTTAGCAATTCCTACGCATGCCTATGGATGTGTAAAAAATAGATCTATAGTTGGAATTACCGAGAATAGTAAGGGTAATTGGCTTGAATCTACTCTCATTGCGAGACAAGGAAAGTGTTAACATTCATGACTTGCATAACTCGTGTGAGTTTTTTTCCTCAAGGCTCATCTAAGGACTAAATATCACCAATCCCTGATTTGCAGACAACATGGAATTTGTTGATGATCTTCAGACATTTGCGGATCTTGGTATACACTTGCAATCTCATGGTTGCCATGTGGCTAACCTCTCGTCAGTGGATTTCTCAGCCAAGAATGGAATAGGTGGTTGTTTGAAAAGTTTGTCAAGGCAGATTTTGAAGGGTAGCATTGATGTAAGATTTGTGACACCATATTCAAATAGAGACTTTCTTCTGTTCGGGAAGGATTTTAAACCATCCTGTCTATGTTTCCTTCTTAATTTTTTCTATGTTCCTTTTATTATATACACAAGGACATAATGCTTCTCTAACCTTTTTATCTTAACAGGCAGCCGACATATCTATCTTAGCATCTTGGTACATGGAGCAAGAGAATTCTAAGCGGCCAGTGGTTGTTATTGTTGAAGACATGGATAGGTGCAGTGGACCTGTACTTTCTGATTTCATACTCATGTTGAGGTATAGTAGCTCAGAAACATGTTGTTGTGTTTGTAGCAGATATACTTATCTTGGTGCTTTTTACAGAAAGTTTCTTCACTTGTTTTGATAGGGTCAAGGCGTAGTCCCCTAGCGTTATTGTTTTATTTCACCCCCCTCATGATTCCCTCTAGCTATTATTTTGCTCACAAAGTGCTTGGGGTGTCTAGCCCGGAGAATGTCGATCAGTTGCTACAAGCAAATAGTTTGTGCAACGAACTTAGCTTTACATTGACTCCACCTTAGTCGTCTGGGCAAGCAGGACATCCCACATCTCACTGCTAGATCAATGCCATTTAATTAATTCATTTTGGAATATGCATTGCTGCAGTGATAATCGGAGTAATGCCAACATCACAAGTTTTTCTCAGTTAATGTAGTCAGACTCTGATCTTATATTCTTGGTCTTATATATTCAGTTAATGAGTGCTGGCTGGAGGATCTAGTTGATGACTTTTCTCAGCATTGTCTAGTCTATGGGTGCATAGTCATACTTCTAGAATGGAAGTGGTCCTTTATAGCAGTGGAAAATTTGTACACAAGTTCAAATGCTAAAGTCTAGTTTTATACGATATGATGGGGATTACACAGCTATGCCTATAATATCTTAAGTTTGTACTGTGTGATCTCCAAGGAGTATTAACAGAAAGCAGGAGAGAACTTATACCCACATAGAGGTATATCAGTTGAAATTATCGTGATAGTAGTTGATAGATTGAGGTGTTCACGAGTGAAGGAGATTTACAATCCACAAGCTGAAACCCCCTACACGGAGCTTCAGTTATTAGTTATTATCTCTAAATGCATAATATGCATTTAACCATTGCATTGATACTTCAAATAATTGCTCTTCATGCATGTAATATCACCTTGACTTGCAGATACTCACAGCTCATTTTGTGCTTAAACAGTGAATGGGTGATTAAGATCCCAGTCCTTTTGATACTGGGAGTTGCAACGACGCTTGATGCCCCCAAAAGCATACTTTCTTCCAAGGCAGTTCAACACCTGTCTCCTTTCAAGTTCTTTTTGGGATCTCCAGCTGATAGACTGGATGCTATCATTGAAGCGGTTCTTGTGAAACCTTGCTCTGGATTTTTACTTGGTCACAAGGTTGCAGCTTTCATAAGAAATTGCTTCTTGAGACAGGATGGAACCTTGACTTCTTTAGTTAGAGCTGTAAAGGTTGGTGGTTCTACTGTAGTCATGGTTGTTATCATTTTCTTCTTAATAGCTGATAAATACTAGAGGTGGTATTTTACTATACGAGGCTGATTGCTTACAAATTTTGTGCAGATGGCAATTGTCCAACATTTTCTTATGGAGCCTTTAAGCTTCATAGTGAAAGGCTTACTTGATGAAGAGGTTAGCCGGGAGATATTTGCAATCAAATATGTTCACTGTTGAGCTATCTTGTTCTTTTTCCATGTTTGATTTTTTAGCTGCTTAGACTTGTTTTCTTCCCCTCTCATTTCCTTTTATTTCGTGTGAATAAATTTCAATCAGTACGCTCTTTCTCCTGTGTCTTGGGCTCTTGGCCTTGGGCATTGTTAGTTTATCTTACCTATATTCTCTTTCTCTTTGTTATGAGGCGCTAATGCTACATAGTTTGAGGGAGTGAACTCTTTTTTTCTTTTCCATTGCTTTTCCCCTAAGCTCCAAGGCAAAATGATCCTTTACAACTTCAGGTCACACAGAGTGGGGAACCAACATCTTTGTCAGAGGCATGGCCCAAGCAAGCTCTTGATCTTCCATCTTGTATGAGGTACTAAAGATAGTCATTACTATTGCAAGTAAGTTTGTGTCAATAATGCTGTGGAAAATATATAGAAGGAATGTCTGCTAAGTTATGCTTTCAATCTTCTTGCAAGGATACTTTCTGAACCAAAAACTGAAGCTTTGTTAGGTGGAGCTTCAAAAATGAAGGAATTGCTGAATTTGTGGAGCTGTGTGGTTTTGGTGAGACCCAAACTCTTCTTCACCTTCAGTTCTTCAAGAATATGGTCATGTGTGATTACTGGTACATGAAGTGAACATGATATATTAATGTTCTTTGTAAAGTTTTACTCTATTTTAACCTCTGAAACTTGTATTTAACTTGTGTACCATAATTACAAGGTGAACAATCCCAGGATTCTAAATTCTGATTAGAAGTTCCCCAATCTTCTATTTATCTTAGTCCTTAGGGGCTTAATCGTTGGTTTTGAACTAGGTCTCCGTTGATGTACTGCTAAACAGGTTTCCATCTTTTAAATGATATTGGCCCCTGGCGTATCTTGTTATCTGTTTAATCAGGGTCTCTCAATGTTGTGAGCATTTTGGTACTGGGTATGGGACCTTGACAGATGGATCTTGGAATTTGACAACTCTAAAAAAGTAAGGAGAAGGCAATACATTTGGATATATTCATGGTCAAGAACCCCTCAGTTTCACTTTACATTTATAGCCCATGATTTCTAAATTTTGGAATTAGTGAATTTTCTTCTCCATTTTCATAAGGACCAAATAACTCCTAATCCTGTATCCCTCTTTATCAAGGTCAAGAATCTAGTGTTACCTTCCCTCATATTTCTCCTGTCTTCTTGGTAACAGAGGAATATTTTGTTGAGATGCCACACTTGTGTTACTCCTAGGGTTTCCACTTCTAACGGTTAATTTTGTTCAATTCAGTTAAACCCTTTGGACCTTGTTCTCTTGAGTCAGTTTTAGGTTCTACATATTTTGTTATATTTGTTAAATGGCTTTTCTTTTGTTACTTCAGTGTTTATGTATTAAATCTAGAAATTTTTTCTATTCATCATATGTTAGCACTTCGTTCCTTTTGTTTTAAAATTCTATGTTGTGACGATGTAAAAAAATATTCCATGATCAATTTGAATAAATTCTCATATGCATGTGCTTGAATGATCATGTGCCTATACTCAATATAATGACATGGTTGCATGGGAAAACTGTTATCAACTTGTAGTGGTTCGCACCTTACTGATGCATCGTAATATTTTCCAGCATGTGGCAAATGCTATATTGACAGGCAAAGTTTAACAACTAAAATGCCATCTTTTGTTCTAGATAGCAACATCCTTTTTTTCTATTTGTACCCTTTTGCACCCTTGTTTTGTGTGTCTTAACAAATTATTACTTGTCCATTTTGGTCATGATTTGAATTCTTGATCAGTTTGCAATCTATCTAGCAAAGACCCACTTAGACAAGCCAGAGAAATATCATTTGTGTAATGACTTGGAGGAGACAATTAGTTTGCAATCCTTCAAAGACCCTATAAGACAAGAATCAAGTTTTCTACGAGAGAATCTGAACACTTAGTGGTCGATTGTAAGCGTTAGACAAAATTATTTCACGAGAACAACATACAATGATCCTCCTGCCCATCTTGTTCATACTGAGATTGACTTTGTATTGTTTGTGGCTAGTACTTTCACTAGTCTCTGTTTGGCTTTCCTTAATGTACTGTTTAATAGGCTCTACCTTTTTCACTTTTGCGTATGGTCCATTTTCTAATCCATTTAAGTAGGTTTCAATCAGTGGTAAAGTATCTCCAAATGGTAAACAGCTACACATGTATTAAAATGTCAGAAATCTTTGTCAAATCCCCCCCCTGTTAGTCATGTGAATCCGTATCTCTTAACCATCTCATCTAGGAGACGACTGAGCTATCTCAAGTGGTGTATATTCCCTCTTTTTCTCCTCAACTGGTGCCGCCCCACCAATCTCCTTTTTGTGTGCTTTCTTGTCCATGTGAACCTCGTGACCGACCCCTTGTTAGTTCGTAGAGCCTATGCTGGGCGGCCAGCCTCATGGATCACGCATCTGGTCCTTCTCCCATTGGGCAAGAGCTTTCAGTAAAGCAAAAATGCCACACTCGTTATGATTATGAAATTTTCGATTGGAAAATGGAAGGCCAATGGATTTCAAGGCCACCCAACAAGGCTACCTTATTTTGTGGGCAATACTCCCTTTCCCTTGAAGGTAGCCATATTTGATGAGATCCTCTTTCTAAAACTTTTACAAAACCTTGCCCCTTGTTCTAATGGAGTTAATGGTGTTGTATAGATGTAGAATGACAACTGCTTCATTTCTTCTTGTTTTATTATTTATTTTATGAGCCATAAAAAGTTAATTTGTTGCAGTGCTTGTATGATGCTGGAAAGAACCAGAAAACCACCCTCTTAGACTTGTATTACGAGGCTTTGGATCCAAAGCTTTACAACTTGAGGCATACTGAATACTTGGAGTCACAACCCGATTCTCAGAGGCCTTCATCTACTCATGGTTTGCATGGACAATCATTTAGAAACAAGGGCAGTTTAATTGGCCACACGGTCCGCCAGGTAAGGTAAGTAAGGAAAATGTTGCCATGATTTGTTTTTTGATTGATATCTTTCTTTAATTATACAGCTTGGTTTAATAATACTGAAGTTAGGGCGTGTACTGGTTTGTCTAAGTTACAGTTTTGCAGTTGATACATTTCTGCAAATTTTTGTTCTCATTTTTCTAATTTAGCATAGGTAGTAATTTGAAACGATCTAAACCAATGATCTATTATGGTCACATCAGTTACATCTCCACACCACTATTTCTAAATCTTCTTTTCCGTTAGTAACAATGGGGTACTAGTAATATCATTGTCTGCTTATTGTGTGTAACCTTTTTATGAGTATAAAGTATTTGTTACAATTATGAAATATTCTTTGTATGACTGTCATATTATCACTCAGGGACCTGCCACCGGCTGCTTTATTTCAGTTGCTTGAGAAGTGGGTTAAACAAACTGATGGTGTCAAGGAGGTATGCTAGGGCTCTTTTTTTATCTATAACTTTTGTTATGAGATAAGCTCCGACTGTGGATCATTTGAGGTTAAATGAATGAAAGAGTTGGTAGAATGTTGATACTAAGTGGATATGACTTCCCTATCACATTTATACTACCAACAGGAGCCAATGGTTTTTATAGTCTAATATTCTTCCTCTCTATTCCTCCATCCAAACAGAGAACGTAGTGCTTATGTGCCCCTATGTGTTATTTTGTCTCTGCTTTATAGTATGTGGTCAATCTGCTACATGAACACAAATAAGCCTTGTGCAAATGGCATGTGAAGATTGACAGCTGCATTTTGTATGAAAGTGTGTTGGTGTGGCCTCTTGTTGACCATTTTACTTTCTTATTCATTCTAGATGCATGAGAAAGTAAAGGAGCTTCAGTTGCAAGAGAAATTTGAGGATGATAATTTGAAAGAACCGGCAAACAGATCCAGGTAATGTTTCATTTGAACCGTGCTGAGATTAAGATTTTAAATGAAAATGTATTGTAGATGGCATGCTAGTATGGCCGAAGCCGATTGATAAGTTGCATTGGCATCATCATTGAATTTTTGAGCAAACAGTACCCATGTTAAGATCCATTGGGATAAACTATTACGTCGGGTCTTTCTCGACAACAGACCGGCAAGCATCTCAAGCACAATATTGATTTTATTCAACTTGAAATCACTAATTGAAAGTTCCATGTAGCAACAAGACAGATGGCAATGATAAAGACTCGATTTATTTGCTTATGACATAATATTAACTTTATTGGTATGACAGGAGACAAACAATACGGAATAATGGAAATCTGGATAAACGTACCAAAGAATTAAATCAGAAAGCTGCTGCACTGATTAGTTGCATGGCAAGGTAATTGCCTTTTGTAACTTGATAAGGTTGTTATATCCAGGCCATTGTATTCATGTGCTTTGTTTCAGTACTCAGACATTTAAACCCTCTATTTGGACACTTGTGATGCGTCAAAGTAGTAAAGCTTAATAGTTTCTCTATACAGCTGAGTACGTGGCATGTTGGCTTATATCCAACCTCAACAGGGAATGTAGCTTTTAATGTGCAGAACAAACTTTTATTTTTAAGAAGCATAAATTTGTTGCTTGAATTCCTAGGTTCCTGTAGAATTGGGGCTGTCCTAATTAATAATACTTGTTAGCATTGTTGGCCTTCGGAATCTTACACTCCTAATGTTTTGCAAATCTATTGCAGCGCATATGTTTGCAGAAGCATATACTAGACACAAAAGTACCTTCTAAATGGATTTGATATCAACAGTCATGAACAGATGCCAATGAATTTATCAAACCAACAAAGCGTCTATGATGTGAAGATCTAAAATTCCATCTTTAATGGAAGGGCTATATATATATATATATAGACTTGGCATCATGTGAGACCAACGGTTTTTCGTGAGACCTGTAACTCCGTAAGCCAATTCTCAACCCTTGGATTAGATCTACAATCGTCAGATCTGAACATTCATAAACGCCACGAGACTTCTCAATAATTACAAAATTGTCACCGTGCAACTTTAGACCATGAGATCATTAACTTATAAAGTTGATCAATGAATATAAATTGGTCTTACGGGTCTCATGAAAAACCTTGGGTCTCACGTGAACCCGACCCTATATATATATAGGGTTGGGTTCCGGTGATAATGGAAGTTATGGTGAGAATTGAAGAGAAACACTGGATCATTCTTAATTGAAGAGAAACACTAGATCAACACTAATGAGATACCCGGATCAATTCGTGGGTTGGTTTGAGATTAGAAATGATCAAGGGTCCAAATCCCTTCTTAAACTTCTCACCTTAACTCCTATACTCACACGATCCTTCGTCTATATATATGTTAAATATTGGGCTCTTTTGATCGAAAGCCTAATTTTGTGGTAATAGAAATTTGTACACAGAGCCTTTATGAAGTGGAGTTGTTTAACTAAGTCCATGACTGAACCAAAAGACCGCAAACTCGCTGCATTCCTCGCCACATGAAAGATGAAAGTCGTCATTTTGTCCAGTTTGTGGGTCACCTTCACATCACACGTTTCAGTATGGTACAAATGTTTGCCAAAAGCACACTGTACTATGTCAGCACCTAAGCAATAGTAAAGCATAGATTGAACTGCTTTGCTCTTGAAAACAATATTCTCAAGTGAAGCATGGGGTTCAGTGTTTGCTGTTTACTTTTATTTACTTCTCTGAATGAAAACGAGGAGACATCTTTTTTTTAAAGTATATAGTATTTACAAAAGGGTGATTGGCCTAATGGTGTACCCGAATTACCGGTAGATCTCAGCCTTCCAGGAGGTCAATGGTTCAAACCTCACCAAAGGCAAGGAGTGTATGTGAGTATTTGCCTTATATAGGTACTATATACTAAAAAAGATGAAGACGAGGAGACATCTTTTTCATTATGGTTCTTCAAGGAAAACAATAAAGATTGGCTCCTTGAGATGCAAAAATCAGATTTATCAACATGGAGTTCACAGTTAAATAATACTTTTTCTTCTAATGTTCTCCATGTGATTGTCTATGAAACAGGGACCATATGCAGCCCATTGAGTGCATTCCTTTCCATGAAATAGTCTGCTTCAAGAATGTTGACAAACTGCAAGCTGTAAGTCATGAAAAAGTTCTTTTACTAAACTCGTATCAGCTTACATATTTTCTAGGGAAAAGCGAGGACCATACAATAGCTATATTTGACTAGAATCCTCATATGCTGTTAACCGTTAAGCCAGTACAAAACATTGGAGTCTAGTGCACTGTTTCTGATGTGCCTCACTTTCTTATTATTTCATTAATGCATATGGTTAATTGTCTTTGCTTTCTCTTAGCCAGCTTTTTAGAAACAACCACTTTAACCTTAGGGGTACAGGTCAAGTCTATGTACATCTTACCCTCCACAAATCCCACCTCAGGTGGGATATATTTGGTTCGTTGGTTTAGTTTACAAGCTTGATATCTAAATATCAATGTCTAGTAGTGATGTGACTTTCTATTCATCAGGCAGTAGTATCTGGCTGTTTCAGAAAACTAAATATATCAAACATTTGCTAGTTCATTAGATCGGCTCTTTGAAGATGAAAACAACAATACATGTAATTTCTGAATGATCATACTATTCAGTTTAAGGAAGTATAGTAAATAGGTCTAGTGGGATTAACAAATAATTTCATGCACATTGACATGCTCTGTTTGATGCTTGGAAATGCTGCAAAACAAATTTATGAATTTTGCCACCTAGATCTCTTACAATTGTTTATACAGGTTTTACAAAATGGCAATTGAATTGACTCCCTTTTTCTTATTCTACTTGTTTGCTAGGCTTTATTAGGAGATCCTAGAAGAAGAATCCAACTTGATCTACTGGAGTGCCACAGCTTCCTGAAATGTAGTTGCTGCAGCAAAAGTTGCAATGTTCCAATATCATCAATGCATGATACAACACTAATGTAAGACATCTATGTGGTTGGTTTTCCATTAAGTCCTGTGTGATAAGCTATATGTATGGATTAATCCGTCCATATAGATTGGGAAGGTTTTTTCATAGATGGAAGGAGCACATCTTTTAATTTGGGGGGGGGGATGTTCGACTAAAAACTTGGCTTTCTGCATAAAGCTCCCCCCTAGAAGCTTATTGAACGGGCCACTTTCTATATCATTAAGCCACTATCAAACAACCATGTATAGCTGATCGAATAAGCTGCGAGTCCCATTAAGCTGATTAAGCTTCTAACATACAAGCCCTAAGGTGTTGTTTGGTTTGCAAAATTCAAAGGAATTGGAATGATCAATTCCTTTGACCAAATTGCAATTCCTTTTGTTTGGTTCACATATTGAAATGGATGCAATACTTTTGAATTCCATAAATTGATGAATTTATCATTCCTTGGCATAAGTGAAGGAATTGAATTCCATCCTTTGCATCAAGTTTAACCAACATCGCTCACCCCTTGCCCCACCACCAATGGCTTGTTGTCATCACAACCGCCACCCCCCACCTCTGCTTCAACCCCATAGGCCACTATCGTCGCCCTCACAGCCGCCACCACCACCCCCACCCCACCATCCCCCCAAACAGAGGATGGAGATTCCAATTCCTTTGAGAGATCACATTCCAATTCCTACCAACCAAACACGTGGTCAAATTCCATTCCAATTCCTTCAAAAGTCAAATTCCTTTAATGAATTTCAATTCCACCAAATTCCATTCTGCGAATCAAACGCCCCCTAAGAGTTGTAGTGGAACCACAATCACTTTTCACAAGCCGAGGGTCTTCACGGAAAGAGCAACTCTACTCTTGGGTGTAGAGGTCAGGTCTGCATACATCTTACCATTCCAAGACCCAACTCTGGGTGCGATATATTGGGCATGTTTGGTTTGGGTTTTAGTTGAACCACGTTCATGCTTTTTATAACTATTCAGTTCGGAAAGGGGAAGGAATAGTTGGAGGGATGAATTGATAGATTTCTTTATTGTAAAAAAATGGTATTCATTTTTTAGATCTTGTAATTCCTACACTCCTTATTTACAGGTATACCCTAGCGCAGGAACATGGGGATCTTATCAATCTCCATGATTGGTATCAATCTTTCAGATCAATCATTTTTCAGCGACCTGTTAAAGAACGACATAGGTCAAAGGTTTCACCATCACCTAAGAAAAGAAAGACTACCACTGAACCTCAGAATATAACCGAAGCATCAGTACAGTATCCTTATTTTAGCATCAGTTTTCTGTTTGCATGTCTTTAAAAGTATATATTTGCCTTTATTTTCGTGAGGTTGACCGCTGGGAATGGAAACATCAGTGGCAGTGGCAGTGGCAAGCTGTGGTATTCTTTTTCTGCAGATGTGAATCTGTCTGCCTTTCGCAAAGCTTCTATTAAAATCTAATGAAAGATAAGACACACACACAGAGGGAGGTTCAAATAAGAAATGCAAAGGAGGTTGAGAGCGTAAATAATTATTCATGTGTATCGTTCGTAAAAGGAAACGTGGGTTTCATTCATATATGCATCTCCAAATGAATTTTTTTTTTCAGGTTTACCAATGATTCACATATGAATAATTTATTCGTAGGTTCTCAACCTTTTTTCCTTTCTTCTTTAAAACTTCCTATATGTACATATCGGATGGGATTGAAATCTTTAACCTTATCTTGTACAGAGCACGCTTTTGCAGGGCAGTAACGGAGCTCCAAATAACAGGACTGCTTCGGATGCCTAGCAAGAGGCGCCCTGATTACGTGCAGAGAGTGGCCTTTGGACTCTAACCCAATGAAGTGAATACCTGAATTTAAGTGTAGTTTGTTTGTTCAGGATTATTACTTCTACATGATGGTAACATTCTTTTGATTCAGGTAGATGCCATACATTCAACAGCCAAGTTCAAGAAAAGAGGGGTGTAATCTTTGGTTAAATCTAGCTTCCCCAAGGACACAAGCATTGGGGTCTTGTGATGTTTGAAGTGGAAAAGGGATGCCAAAATATGTTCAAGTGTAGTATTAGTTACTAATACCAATAGTGAAGTAATTTATATATCAAACTTAAGGGGTTGTTTATTACATGTGTATCTGTATTTTATCATGTAAGAGGCATTTACCTGATCTAAGATGTTTATTAAACAGTTTTGTTGATTGAGATGTAGGCCTAGTAAGTTAAGAAATGACTTTTTTGGAAGGGTGTTTCATACTATGCCTGGACTAATCCAAGTAAGCTGTGACTGGAAGAAATCAGTTCTGATAAACTCAGTGATCACAATGGATCGCAACCACTACGTTACAACCCTTGTGGTTTAAGAAATGAATCTTACTTCATCAGTGTTTACTTGATTTGTGTCGATAAATGGTTGTCTAATGTGTACAAGATGTTAAAGACGATGTATTATGAATGAATATTATAATTTATTGTCAATAGATTTGTTTGTGTAATTTAATCTAAAAATAAATTAATTAATATTGTGTTTGGAGAGATGTTTTATTAGAAACCTTATTTTTGTTGAGAATCGAGGAATCTTCAATAGTAAATCATGTGTCCATATTCATCATGAATAAGGACACATGGTGCATTTTTAGTATTTCTCTTGTTCTCAATGGAAATAAGATTTATAACGAGATGTGCCTGATAATAATTAATATAATATTTTGTTAACAAGATCTATATATAAGAATAATTATTATGACTTGGGATCATGTAGGACAAGACTGTTCTTGTGAGACATGATATTTACACTTGAAACTTTATAACAAAACATTGTTAAGGTAACTTCATAGTGTTTTTGCTGTGAAGATTCAGTTTTTTTTTTTTTTTACCTTCACAACATTTTGTTGTGAAGTTTTAAGTGTAAAAATCGTGTTTCACGAAAACAGTCTTGTTTCACGTGAACCCAACCCTGATTATTATATATAGATATTGTTTCGATTTCTAATTATAATTTAAAATTAATCCTATAGATTATCTAACAAATCTTTCTTTTGGATGCCATAGCTTTTTTAACACTAAAAATGATGCAATTTTTTGTTTTTGGGATTTTTACATTCTTACCCGGTTAGCAAAGTAGGTCGAAAGAATTGCAAGGATGAAATTGTGAAAAAAGAAAGTTTAAGGGTCAATTATGGAGTTTTTGGTAAATGCATGGGATGTAAGTGTAAGATTTTGAAAGGCCGGTCATATATGTAAACCGACACTCCCCCTTTTGATTATTCAAATTTCAAAATTCGAAAGTAGAAAGCAGAGGAATTAGGGTTTGGAAATCGATAGGAATCAAAATGGCATCATCAGCAGACATGAAAGGATTCTACAAGCAGAAGAAGAAGAATGCAGCGATTAGCAAACCTTCATCCAACAAATCGAAATCGAAGCCCAAGAATGCTGTGAGTTTCGGAGCGCGTAATGCACAACCTACTGCTCTCGTCGCCCATGGTTCTTTGGATCTTCAAGGTGAGTAGATTACTCTTATGGAAGAACGAGATTTTGTTAGGAATTTGATTCTGTTTGTGTTGTTAGGGTTTCACAGTCTCTACTAGGGATTTTGCATTTAGGGCAAAATTAAGACGATGAATCAAAAACTGCCTACTTTCCACCTTTCATATATTTTTAGGCCTTCGTTGATGGAGAATCACATGGAATTTGTTACTGATTTATGAATGATACTGTCATAGTTTAATACATCTGTTCGTTTCACTTATTCCCAAAAAAAGATGGAACCTAGAGAGATTGTAAAGCTGAAACTAGCCCTTTTTTATTTGAAAAGCTCAAAATGCCTTTTATCGTTTCTATCTACTGCTTACTGCAAAATTTCATCTGGTTATATATATGGAAAATGAAACTACAGCAACTCTGGAGTTGAAATAAGTAGTTTGATTTGAAGAAGTCAAATTGTTTTACCGAAGGCTATTATCGAATTCATACGATTATTTCTATAGCTTAATGCAGTTTTCAGTTTCATTTGCATGAAATCAGAACCAAAAGCATATTTGAAGTTCAAAATAACAAGTTTTTCATTTGGGGAGAGGTAATGAATGTGAATTTTTGTGTGTTGACAGAGGGTCATGATGCAACTGAAGAAGTGTTGAGGCAATTCGACATGAACATGGCATATGGGCCGTGCGTTGGGATGAAGAGGATGGATCGTTGGGAGAGGGCTGCTTCGTTGGGGTTGAACCCTCCCAAAGACGTCCACCGTCTCTTGACATCTACCTCCAACGAGGGTTCCTTGTGGGATGGTCGCGTTTGAACTCCAAAACAAGAATCTGTTGTGGGTAAGGTATGTAGACACAATACATGGTACCTCTTTCCGTTTGTTTCCCTGTACAGTCTCTAGCTGACTCGGGTTTTTTCTTGCTGCCATGAATTATCCTTGTGCTTTTAGCCAAGTATCAATCAATGCTTTTGGTTGTTCTCTTCTGTTCTTAGTTTTGTTTTATGGAACAAGTTCTTCTCTTGTGGGGTGTTATGGTTCTTGGAAACATTATGCATAAGAGTGTGTGTGTGTGTGTGTGTCTCCGTGTGGTGACGAACAATTGTTTATCGGTCCATCGTGAGCATAAAGTGTGGTGATAATATGACACTCATGTGAAATGAAATTGGTTTTGTTGTTTCTTTCGTGGATGTTTGAGCCAACTGGTGCGCACCTTGACAACACCAAAAAGATACATCAAATTGGTCGGTCTACTAAAACCAAAAGTCAATCCATCTCCAACCACACGGCATATATATTGTTTTTCTTCCAACTCCATCAAAATGCAGCGTTGACCCATTCTCTTTGAAGTCCTTGTCACACTTGTAAACTATAGATCGTTTGAAACGAGTATGAGACAAAATAAAATTTGAAGTTCATGTCATATTAAAAATCATATAAATTAAACAACAAATATGTTTAAAATGACAAAATAAGAAGAATATCGAAGAGTCGTTTTTGTTTTTGATTGGTGAATTCATAAATTAAATAGTTTTCTTTTTTAATTTTGAAAGAAATTAGATAGGTTATCGTTGAAGTGGGGTCACAAAACTATACAAGCAATGCTTGGGGCACAAGTGAAATTGGGCCCTGAAATTTTAATGGGCCTGTTGACAAACCTACTTTTAACAGACGACATACAGTCGGTTGGAGATTCCATCAACCATCATACCAAGGTAGTAATTGTGCAATGCATAGGGACATATCTCGATCTCAATGTCTCATTTTATTATTTATTTATTTATGTCGATATAATACGGTTTTATATGTTTTAAGAAAGCGATAATGTTTTTATTTTTTAATAGAATATAAATTTTAAAATATCATAAAAAATTTAAATATATATATGTGGATGTTAATATTAAATTAAGTATTTAAAAGTTATTGTTGTATGTAATTTTTTTAATTCATAGTTTTTATTATAATTTAATTTAGGTTTAATAATATAATTCTTTATAAAGAGAATAATTAAATATTTTGTTAGAATCCAATGATTGTCCTAATTATGTTTTAGATCTTTTATATTTAAAATGAGATATTTATCTTGTATTTGATTATGTTTATGTACAGTTATTTACACGAATTTAAACAAGAAGCTTTAGTAAGTTGTATTTACGCACAATTTACTTGTAATCTTGAATTTTAAGTAATATGCATCAATAAACAGTAGAAAGGTCAGCTAGAGCGAAAACCAATCAAACTCAGAAAGGTAGGTAGATCGAGCACACCAAGGGAAATTTGAGAGTATAAAAAATGGTTTTTAAGAATTTTTGCCAAATGTTTTATAATATAGTATAGATTATTGGTCAAAAATTCTTATTAAAAAGTTTTGAATTTTTTTAAAGTTAAAGAGGTAGTGTAGATGACTTTTAAATGCGTAGCAAAAAAGATAGAGAAATGATTGTTGAAAACAACTTCTCATCTTTCTGATTATTGTTCCAAAGTTGTTTTTTTTGTCTTGTTCAACATATCAAACACGCACCTAACGGTGTTATAAGTTACGACAAAAATCACAAATGAAGACGGAGATCAAGCGATGGAATACGATAAACCCTAAAAACATGTAATTATAATAATGATATTATTAAACAAGATTGAAATAAATGAAATACAAACGAGACCAACGTATCAAAATAAAAACCCTAAAACCACATAATCGTATATAGATATGTATAAAGAACTAGGCCCTAAACGTATGTCTTAGACTAGGTTGACCCTAACCGGTCCCTAGTTAACGCAGGTCGTGTTCCCAACCGGTCTCTAGTAACGCCGGTCTTGTTCCTAACGGGACCTCAGGACTCGCATTTCTTGTGCAAAACATAAATAAGATCTCCTAGTCCTATATATAGATACACCAACTCTGTATGTATATGTTTATATGCAGATGGACCTACTGAGCTATGATCAACCAACAAACCTTCTTTGTTACTTTTCTTTCTTCTGGGTTTTGAGTTTTGGGTATTCCGGGATAACCGAAGACCAGAAAAGAGGCAGAACAGTGCATGCCGCCTGTATTAAGAGCCCTTTCTGGAAACCCGAAAAATCGGTTTCCGTGATTTCGACGTACGAGCCGAGAGCGACCCCAAGGTACCCACTTACAATGAACGCCAATGCGATAGAAGACATGACAAATGCCATTAGAGATCCTTCACAACCCGCTGGGCAGAGCTTTGCCATCAGAACACTGAAAGGTAGAGTCTTGAAGAAATACAAGACCTCAAGAAGCCCAGAAACAACCACAATGTATAGTGAGTCCGGTATCCCCATGGTTCGATAAAAGCCGTTCACGAATAACGCGTCTGATACCATTAGAACAGCCATTGTTCCCTGAATCATGGAGATTAGTTTTCGTGGTGGGATAGACTTCAGGTGTTGGTTATATACAACACCCCATAATAGCATAGCGACTTGACCAAAGACCTTTGAAATCCCTAGAACGGAGGATTCGATCTTTAGATGTTGTGTTTGATAGAAGAACATGGTGCCGGTTAAGGCTGGAATTATGGCGTAAGATGCTGCAAACCAAGAAATTGGTTGATAAATCTCGGGTTTTCGTAGCACCAGTAAAAGCTCGGAAAGCTGCTTTCTGATGCCATGATTGGACGGACTCTTTGGTAAGTCGAGTGATCTCTCACTCACTGAAATCGTAATGAAGAATTGAAGAGTCAGCAGGATTCCAAAGAACGAGAACATTGCGCTTGGCGAAAACTGCGTAATAGATATACCACCTAGAAGGTTCCCCAAGACGCCACCAATTGACGAGGCCACCCACGCATATGATTGAAGATCGGATGACGATGACCCTGAATCGTTGGCGGATTGTTTCCCACATTCTGCAACTACAGCATCGTTTGCAACCTCGACTATCGAAGCACCAAGGTTTCCAAGGAGGAGATAAACAGTGATTGTGAAGAACGACATGCTTGAAGAGGGTAGAGATGCAATGGTAAGCCAGGATACAGCTTGTAACAAAGCTGCAAAACATCAATATCATTATTAGAAACTTCGCCCCCTAGTTGACCAATGGAAAAACAAAAGCAATTATGTTAAAGATGGGTAGAACCCCATCAGATTACTCTCCAAAAGAGTCCGGAAGAAGTTAAAGATGATTCCAACATATAGAGAAGGAAGAGACACTCCAACACGCCCCCTCCAACGGAGGCTAGACAGAGACCGTGCTCCAGAGTATCGAGTCTCTTTTAGAGGAACCTCAACTCTGATACTGATATACCATATTAGGATATGTGGAACCCAATTCGGGTCACTCACAGCTTGTTTGGTCACCTATACATGACTGTTTGATAGTGGTTTGATGATAAAAAGTAGCTTAGGGGTTGTTTGTTTTCCTCTTAATAATTCCATTAAGAGGCAACCTCCGAATCGTTAAGAGGTGAATCTTGTTTGGCAAAAAAAATCTGCCTCTTAATGGTTCTAAAACCCTCTGAATGATTTTGCATCCTGAATCTCCCTTAACCATTAAGAGCCCTAATTTCATTGTACACAATTACCAAACAATTATATTTCATTTTGCATTATATCATGAGAGCCTCTTAATCATTCTGACCACTTAATCATTCTGCACCAAACCATTCAACAATTACCAAACAGCCCTTTATTCAGCTTCTAGGAGGAGCTTTATATAGAAAGCCAAGTTTTTTCCAAACCTGTCCTTCACAGTTAAATAACATGCCCATTCCATCTATGAGAAAACCCTCCCAACAAACAACTTTGTCCTTACAGAACTTAATGGAAAACCAGTCAAACAGCCCCTTAGGTTGCTATTCGAAAGATGAACATTACTTGAAGATCATGCACAATTCCTGGTATACTATTAAACTAAAAGCAAAGGGGATGGATGCATCACACAACAAATCTCTCAGGGTTATAATATTCCTGAATAAAAGACAGGAGATGTTCAGTCTTCTTTCATGTCTAACCTAATTCATTCAAGAAAGTACATATGAAGATTCTGTCATTAATTTATTGATAAACAGTTCCAATTCACCACTTTCTTTTTTATATTCGGAAAAATTCATGCAAACCATGGCTTCTCGAATCCACGACCTTCATGTTGTTCAACCTACCTTTAATTATCCGGTTTACCGCCGAGATCATTGTTCTAAGGTTTAATGTGGTTAGCGGTTTCTTTCAGTAACTTGAAAACGTAACCATTTTTTGATTTGCAAATGGCACAATGAATTGAAATGTGGTTCATTATTTAATCATATACAAATATATGTAAGATGCAGAATCAAAAAGATATATACCAAAAAGAAGAGGAAGAATCGGATTCGGAAGATGCTAAGACGGAAAAAGAAGGAATGTTCAAGTAGGGCAAGCAAGTACGAACATGAAATATATGATAATAAGCTTAAAGTACCTCCGAAGGCGATGTATGGAATGCGATGTTGACCAAAAACATAGAATGAATCAGATAAAAGACCGTAAAAGGGCTTGGCAACCATCGGAAGATTTGCAGAATTCTGAAGGATTTGTAGCGTTGATGGATCCACACGGAGTCCGTCCTTGAGGAAGAAGATCACCGCCATCCACGGGAAGCATCGAAATCCCTGCATCAAAAACCCTATCCCTAACAACATTTCCCTTCGTCCTCCTCCTTTTGTTCGTCCTCGTTCTTTATACCTGATACTATCATTACTTGTTTTTGTGAATTTTTCGAGTTTGTTTCTCGAAGAAGATTCCATATCCACTGTTCCTCGGCCGCCGACGACCACCGGAGAATTGCCCTCCTCCTCCTTCCTGTTTGATCTCTGTCGTCGGAAAAGAAAAAGGCTTACAAGACACTCAAAGGAAAAATGCCATAAAGAGGATCCCGACTGTCGCAGAGACAAAAGATTATGAATAATTGCATAAAAGACCCTGAGGTTTTAATGTATTACAGAAACAGTCCCTGTATATCCATTAAAAAAAATTCAGCATCCAACTCATCACGCTCATCTCTTTTATGTCAGAAATAAGCGGTAAATGTATTATTATTATTTTTTATTTTTATATTAAATAAAAAATTAAATTTTTTTAATCTAAAACATGTGTTGGATAAAAAATATGATTTTACAACCATAAGGGTGGTGTTCGACGGATTTGAACTTAGACTCCAAAAGTTAAAAATCTCTCGAAGTTCTAGGTTCGAATCCAAACAGGAATATAAATCCTCTTATGGGCACGGAGGTTCAAATGCGGTGACTCCGAACTACCCACAAAGCAGGTAGTCGTCCTGCGATTAGTTGGTTCACATAGCGGGATGGATATTCAGTTTAATTAAAAAAATGTGATTTTATAAAATACATAAAATAACAACTTATTTTCATAAATTTTCTTATTAATTTGACTATTATTTTTTAGAATAATCAATTTAACTTTTATTTCTTTATTATGTTTATTCTAAAACACTGAGGGTCCGTTTGTTTTGCATGATTGTTTTTTAAGGATTTGGATTTCATAAAGGGATTTAGATTGAAATACATTTGAAATCATTGTTGTGTTGGAATGAAATTGGATTTTCATTATTTATAAGAAAATATATAAATAATTAAATTACATTTATCGATTATTACAAAATAAATGTTTTTAACATTTTTAAAACCTTATTGTATACAATCCCACAAGATTTTGTGAAATCCCGAGCACCCCTTAAGAATTTCAAAATCCGGACATTCTAACAAGCCAAACATGAAATCGTAAATGGATTTGAAATCTAAGGGGTCGTTTATCAAACACTTACTCGATAAGTGCTTATCAGTAAAATTTAACACTATTATTTACTTACCGGGTAAGATTTTAGTCTACTAAAACGACTTTGTATGCAACAATTTACCCGGTAAACGCTTACCGTGGTAAGAGTCGTCGCCCTCACTTACCGGATAAGAATCTTGGTCCTTGTCTCGCTCTTACCGGATAAGATTCTTGATGTTTATCATATTCATCCAATAAGGTAACGGGAAATGGTAAGCATTTATCCAGATAAGTGTTTGATAAACGGTCTCCTAAATCCATTCCATTCCTATAAACCAAAATGAATTTGATGAAATTTCAATCATCATGGATTGAATGGACATTTCATGCCTTTTAATTTGGACATGAATTTCCTTATGAAAATCAAAATAATTTCATAGATAAATTAAATATTGTCAATAATATATAGTTTTATAAGCATTTATAGTTTCAAAATCAAAAAAAAAAATTAATGATATTTATTATTATTTTATTCTAATTTTAGAAGCATATTTTACGATCTAAATATAGAGATATTCCATTCCAATTATCGTCATTAAATATAGAGGTTGAAGTCTTTCCTTACATATTTCATTTCAATAATTGTCATTAAACGAGACTCAATTCAATTCCAATTCGTTAGGTCATTCATGTTTAGTTTGTAACATCGGATTGGATTTCGAAAGATTTGAAATTGAATTACATTTCAATCTCATGTTTGGTTTGAATAATTTCTTATATTTGAAATCTATGGATTTCATGAAAATCCCAGTCATTTACCCCCATTAAGTTCATTAAGTCATAACAAACGATACAATACTTACCTAAGAGTCGTTGGCACGGTTTACTGGTAGTAGAACCCAGCCTCTCACGAAATCAATGGTTCAAATCTCAATAAAGCCGAGGAGTGTGCGACTATTTGTTGTATATAAATATTATTTATACTTAAAAAACAATACAAATACTTGTGCCCATTCTGGACGCAATGATGATCATGCCAGAAACGTAACAAATCGAGCAGCCAAACACACTACAAGATTAGTCTAGTTTGTTTACGGTGAAATATTCTTGTGTGGGACAATACTGTACAAAAACTTGTTGTTCCATGTTTAGTGTGACATTAGAGAGGGGCAGGACACGACTTGAGTATGACGAAAATGGATTTTTTTTTTTTTCTGTCCCACCAAAATAGGTGGAGAAAAAACAGGAAGATGGGATAAGAATGGTAAATTGTCAAAATATTAAAACCCTAAACCCTACCATAATTCTTTTACATCTACCTACCTCACTCTCACCCGTCTAGTCATGTTCAGTTCAGTCTCGTCTAAGTACCAAAAGGATCCTGATGTTGTTTTATGGGATACAATGAACCCTGTAATTATGGTTGCAAGCCATGTGATGGGATTTACATATAGAATAATATTGTAAGAATATGTGGAACACCAAATCACTCTCCAAAAGAGCCCTTGAGGAGAAAAGAGAGGTTCCACCATATACATATATAGAAGAAATGGTCCAAGTCTAACCGATGTGGGACCTAACAAATATTGTGTATATATTTATGGATTCCACATAGAACATACCACCACCACCCTAAGTGATCTAGATTCTAGCCTCATGAGTCTGGCAACAACTAGATCAATATTTGCATGGTCAAAAACCATCCAAAAGGGTGCAAACAAGTTATGCCAAGCAGATTAGAGACAGAATATGTGAAACCCATCAGATTGCTCTCCAAAAGACCCCTTGAGAAAAGAAGAGAGGTTCAAACATATATTGACGAGAATGGTTCAAGTCTAGCCGATGTGAGACTCCAACAATCCCAAATAAATACTAGTAGCTCGAGATAGGTCAGTAAAGAAGAACTAACCAAGCTTTAAATTGCCTGAATCAAGTCTTCTAAATCATCCAACTCCAACAGGTTCAGTGAAAGAAAACATTCAAGAGTTTGTAAAGTCATCTATCTAGCTATCGTATATTATAGTGACCATATTTCTGGCAGTTGAAGCGAAATCTTCTTCAACCCTACAAGAAACAATAGCAATATATGTGAGCAAAATAAGAGCAAATAATATATGTATACATGTTTGTTATGTAAATGTGTGTAGATCATTAATGAATACACATCAAAACACAACTCAAAAATTCAGTTTTTAGATATCAGCTTGCAGAGCAGTAAATGGAAATTGTTTTGACAATTAGATAATGGAAGATCAGTTTTTGAACAAACTATGAAAGGAATTCCGAAGTATAAATAAAGGCGATACTTGATAAACCCAAAATGCAGAACAAATTTATATAAAGGAGAAGAGAAGGATAGACTTGAAGGAGAAACTACACGTAATTTATCCATCAAGGAACCAATGTACCTTTTTTCCATTTTAGTCTCTTTCTAATTTTGTGAATCTTCATCTCCTTTATTCGTAAAAGAGCGAAAATGCACCTCGTGCATCCCCATTATCCTATTCCCATGATTCATGGTCAATTATTTAGGCATATGGTCACGCCACCCCCAAATAAACGCACGCAATACATGGGATTCAGCAAATGGTACAAGCACCACTACTTTCTAGGCTAGCAGATATGAGAATTGCTGCCTTTTGAATCTTTTCAACATCATTGAAACAGAGAGACATTATAAACACAAGATGTATACCAAGTCCGAGTAACTTATAACGGGTGTTAGGTGCTAAAAGGTGTAAAAATCAGGTTCTTTTTTCTCAAAACCTTGTGACCAAAAGAGACTACAACTGCAAGCAACATATATCCAATATTATTTACTTCAATACCTCTAAGTTTGATAACGTCAAGTTGACAACCACCATGTTACCACCAAACTCACCCATTTTTCATTTTCGGAGGACTGGGTAATTCTGCAGAAAGAGAATGTGTGATTATTGACATGTTTTTTTTCTACGTAAAGGAATGGTGATGAATTTGCTGGTAAACTTGGTGGTTGCTAGATTTGCTACACACATACAAACATGATAAATTAATAATAAAATATAAACGCACACACTTTGCTTGGCTGCTGTATTTTGAGCAGTGTAATTTCCTGCTCATGATTGATTTTTAATGCAGTTTTCCAGAATATGGTTCCTCTAATATAAAGGGAAACTTGTCGCCTACATCTTATCAATTAATAAGACTTTGTCATTCAGAAAAGCTAGAGTTGAATGTGCCAACCTAATCAGAATACTGTTAGAAAGTGAATGATAGTTCTGACAGCCGATTTGTTAGTAGAACAAATAGGAAGTAGAAGAAAAAAAACAGATACTCTAGTAAGATAAGGGTATGAATCAAAAGCAAAGAACGTTTGTAATGGGCATCAATAACAACGAATATAGAACAGCAAAGGATACAAGGGTGGATACAGATTTTGATAAACTGCTGAATCCTGGATAACTTCCTACTGCAAGTTTGGTGAGAAAAGTTACAAACTCAAATCAGGCATGCTCATTACAGAATAAAAGGAGAAATAACTAAAGTACATCTTCATGAACGTACCTCCTCTTAGAAGATGAAGCTGCTGTTTACATACCCACTTCATACATGCAACATATGGAAGTTTAGGGTCTAACCAAATTGGTCTATCACACTAGCTGTCAGAGTAGAGATCATCCTCATCCATGCCATGAGATTTAGAAGGATCATATCTGTCCTCGAATTCATTGCGTACAAGGGGGGATGACCTCTTGTCCTTGTGCTTGCTCCTTTGGCAACTTTCACTCGAATCCATATTCTCATGAACTTGATCCCTTCGACGACTAGCCTGGTCATGTGACCTGCTGTGACCTCTATCAGGGCTTGAAGGATAGTATTTTCTGGAGCGTTTCTGCTCATCTCGTTGCCCATGATCATGAGAGCGACTAGAACTTCTATGCCCATCGGCATTCTTGGAGATGTATTCTCTCCCATGTCTGCTCTCATCAATAGTATAATATTCTTGGTGCTGTCTGACATGTCGTTGTTTGTTACTTTTTTCTTTACTCTCATCCTCGGAAGTTGCAGATCTCATACTGATATCAGAAACTGATTCTTTCCAATGACTTTGTGGAACCACTTTGTTCGCGTTAGATGAGATAGGAACAGCTATCCTCACCTCATTATCTACTTGCTTATCGCTCATGGAAGAATGCTCCAACGTAAGGTTTGTGGCATCTACAGGAGGTTGACCAACCATGTTTGCATGCTTGATTTCCTCCATGTATTCGTCTATTATACCCCTCATGACCTTTGAATAGAAAGAGAAACATAAAACAATATCAGAGCGCATTAAGTTTAGGCACCATGAAACAAAAAAAAAAAACTATTTCCTATAGTAGTAGAGAACATAGATGAAATTTTGAAAATATGCATTCTAACAATATCAATCCAAAACTCAGGATGAACAGAATACTGCTAAGAAGTTAGATGGCTGCACAATCCCATCACCAAAAACAGACATTATAATTCCATAAAAGCTCAGGAAATCTAAGCTCCTAAACTTGACATGCATAATCCTAATGGGCAACTGGAGACTAAATTGAAGACTTGAAATGATATGCTAAATTTCCAATCAGCAATTGCAGAACACAAACATCTCATGTTAGGCGATGTCAACCTTAAAAGGAGAATATGTTGAACAACAAGGACAGACAATTAAACAAGACTATGTGCTAAAGAGGTAGTTTCTCACCTGTGTTGTGCTTCTTTTCATTTTCTTGCCACGATATGACATTCTTCGCCTTTTGTAATCCCTTTCTTCAGCCAACAATTCCTCTCGTGATTTATTTTTATTTGCATCCTATAAACCAAAATATATTGAGACAAAAGTAAACAAAATAAAGAACAATCACACTTCTACCAAAAGAAAAGTAACTAAACAAGATTTATATCAACTTAAGATGAACAGGCCACTTGCTTGTAGGAAAAATTTAGAAAGACGTGGTTACAAAGTCTTTGTAATGCCTAGTGGTATATCTATACAGAAATAAGCAAAACCAGTCATGACTGCATAATTTTTAGCTTCACATCTGATGCGGCATGATTTTCTAAAAAACGGAGCATGCTTTTCTTGAGTTGAAGAAATCTAGCATTTTAAACTTAACCAGTTATAAACATTTGTGATAGATCAACTTTTTACAAATTGAAGTAACTAAACGAGAACCTTAATTGCTCCACACTGATAATACATACACCTCTCAGTCCCGCATAAGTTCAAACTGCATGCAGTCCATAAATAGCACCAAGTAAAAACATTTTGATTAAAAAAAACAGTTTTGACATTTCAAAAAATAGAAGTAAAACAAGTATATAAACAGGTCACTATGTCTCTGACTTCATGAAGAAACTACACCAGGGAGTCAAATAGGCTAATGTTGTTTGTTATATTCCTTTTCAACTTCATATGAACAACGTTTCTTTTATCTCGTCCAGTAAGAAAGCCTAGAAAATTATAGATCAGATATTCAACTAATCTGGGGATCTCCTCTCTCTTCCTCTCTAGCTCTCCCAAGAAGCATGTTTGCATCAATCACCAATACTCGAGAATAAATGCATATACTGCATATAGATTTTATGATGCATATATAGCATGGTTGTTTTAGAGAAATAGCATGGTTGTTTTAGAGAAATAGCATCGTTGTTTTAGAGAAACAGCATGGTACACATACTTCCTCCTCAACAAGCACAATCACAACTCTAGGTCATTGATAACAGAGTCATGCAGCTGAGTCTACCTGGTTACCTCCCCGCTGCCAGAGCACCCCATCGTGTTCAATTATAGGTCTATAATCTGTACGCTTTTTACGCTCCTCCTCTGCCTTTTTTGATATATATTGATGCTCTTGCACTCTGCAATAAAGTTATCTTGATCAGATGTTTTTCTCACATAATGCAAAAGAAGAACTTCAGTAACTTCATATGATCGGAAAAATAGTGCTACACAAATAGAATTGAATGGCATAGTTACAACTGGCTTCAATAAGGGAATATAACTTAAGAAGTTGTCATTTTATTTACTCCCATAAACTTCCATGCATGAATCTTTTCATGTGACCATGATTAAATTGTCAAAAAAACACTTCCAAGCTAGCTTTACATTGATTAAGAATCAAATCATTTGCTTACATTACATCACCTATGCAACTGAGAACTTTTTTTCTAAGTTTTTAGTGACATGAGATCATGTATTCATCTGTTTATCTTCTGGATTTTAAATTGATATAGTGTTTCTCTCATCAGCCCTTAAGTAAGTAACGTTTTGCACCCACATGTTACTCATCACCTCCTATTTAGATAACCATCTTAGATTCAAAACACAAGTCTTCGTCCTCTCATCTAAATCATGTGGAAGTTAAGAAGATACTACGGCAACAAGTGTTTCAAGTAAATGAAAATACCTCTGATAAACTGGAACAGACTGTGAAGCCCGTACGGCTTTGATTCTTGTTTCAATCGAGGAACGTTCACACAATGCAGCAACAGCTGCTGCTACCTGGGAAACAAAAACCATCCCCATTGTTCTTCCATCGTTTTCTTTGCTTCCCTTGAGGGGGACAGCTTTACCATATACATCACCTAAACCAGGAGATTCATTAACCCTTTCCTCACCAGAAAGAAACAAAGATCTCGATGAAGCAATCAGTAGGGAATGCTTTAACATGTTAATAGCAAATAACTTCCCATTTGCTTCTCCATACAATATAGCAAGCTGTGAAGCTAACCATGTCAATACTCTAACCAGAACAGGACACTCGAAACAATATTTACCCCCTGTTGGCTCTCCTCTAGAAATTGAAACCATATGCCCAATTGCTTCCCTAGCTATTGCTTTCATACAGAGCCTAAACAGCAAAAGAATGTGATCCCTCATAAACTCATCGATCACAACACCATAAAATGGAGAATTCACCAAGAGCCATTCCAGTAGATACTCCTTTTGAGCCATGTAAGAGCATACAACTGAACGAAGAACACCATAAGAATAAAAATGAGGATAATCATTCCACTGATTAATTTCAGTTCTAACATTCCAGTGTTCAGATGGAAGTAGTTCAACAAGATAACAACTACCAAATAAACCATCAATGATATCGCTCATATCATCATTACTCTCGCCAGTCAAATTTGCACACTCAGCTGATAAAACAACAGGCAACATAAGCATACGACCAGCATTGTTATTATCATGTGGAAATGTAACAACCGCCGGACAATCTCGGTAGAAGAAATTCGAATCAAGAGAGGTATGGTAATCATTTAGAGAAAAGCAGAGGTCAGTGTTCGCATCGTTAGGAAGCGTTTGGGTGAAACAATTGCTTTTCTGATTAACTAAAGAGCTTGCAGATTGAAGGGAGTTAGGGTAGTGAATGGAGTCAAAGAGGGCAAGATCGACGGGTGCAGGAGACGAAGGACATTGGAGGTGGTGGTGGAATAGGGAGCTTGGAGGGATGCGGTGGTTGGAGTTGTAAGGGCAAGTGGCGGTGGCGGTGGCGGTGGAGGCGGTGGTGGGAAAGAGATTTGAAACAGAGTGGATGGTGGTTTTGGAGAGGTTGATAAGGTGTTTTAGGGATGATAGGGTGGTATGGAGATCAGAAGGAGCGGTGGAGGAGTTGTGGTGGTGAGAGTGCGGAAAGACTCTAGAGTTAGGGTTTGGGCCTGGCGGTGGCGGTGGCGGAGGCGGAGGCGGTGGCGGGGGGAGAAAGGTGAACGACGGAGATGAGTCCATTGGATGATTTCAGACCGAACGGAGGAACTTGGAAGGGACAATGAAATGTATTTCAATTGGGAAAAAAAAAATAACAAACAGTCATTTTATTTGTTCGGCAATTATTGAATGGTTTGGTGCAGAATGATTAAGTGGTCAGAATGATTAAGTGGTCAGAATGATTAAGAGATTTTTATAATAATATAAAATAAAATATAATTATTTGATAATTGTGTATAATAAAATTAGGGCTCTTAATAGTTAAGAAAGATGCAGGAAACAAAATTATTCATAGGGTTTTAGAACTATTAAAAGACAGGGTTTTTTTTTTGTCAAACAAAATTCACCTTTTAATGATTCAGATGTTGCTTCTTAATGGAATTGTTTAGAGGTAAACAAAAAACCCTAGTGTTGCCGAATGGTTTGATGCGGAATGATTAAGTGGTCAGAATGATTAAGAGGCTCTCATGATATAATGCAAAATAAAACATAATTGTTTGGTAATTGTTTACAATGAAATTAGAGCGCTAGTAGTTAAAAGAGGTACATGATACAAATTCATTCAAAGAGTTTTAGAACCATTAAGAGGCAGACCATTTTTTTATCAAACAAGATTCATCTCTTAACGATTCAGATGTTATCTCTTAATGAAACTATTAAGAGGTAAACAAACAACCCCGAATCCATTAAGAGATAAATCTAAATCATTAAGAGGTAGATCTTATTTGACAAAAAAAATATTTGTCTTTTAATGATTTTAAAACCCTCTTAACGATTTTGTATCGTGAGTCTCCCTTAACTTTAACGTCCTAATTTCATTGTAAACAATTACTAAAAAATTATATTTCATTTTGCACTGTACCATGAATGTCGTTTAATCATTTTAACCACTTAATCATTTTACACCAAAATCATTGAACAACTGTCAAACAATCCTTAAACTATAAATTTGATGGCCGTGTGTGAAACTAGTAACAAACCCATGTTTAAGAAACCTACATGGTTGATGTGTTTGAGAACATGTACCAAGTCCAAATAAATAAATATATGATATTATGGGTTATTTGGTAGTTAATAAATGGTTTGATGCAGAATGATTAAAATGCTTTCATGAAATAGTGCAAAATTAAATATAATTGTTTGATAATTATTTAAAATGAAAATAGGGCGTTGATTGGTTGAGGGAGATCCATGATACAAAATTATTCAGAGAATTTTAGAACAATATTACAACAATATTCAAATGTGTTTTTTTATATTATGTATCAAATAAAACGATGAAATTTTAAACTTATGCTTGACAATTTGTTGATAAGTTACTTGTTGTCTGATAAATTAGTTGTAGACTGATAAATTAGAAGTATAATATTAAAGTTAGATGTAATGAATTTCCCATTTCATAATTAAAATAAAAATGTTGAGCTTTACTTTGTATAGTATTATTTATTATTACGTTATATTTTGATCAATATTTATGTAGAGCAAATTGCATGAAAAAGTAACGTATTTTAATTTGATTTCTAGTTTGGGAACGTACTTTCAAAATTTTCATTTTGGTACATAAGATGTAAAGTTTTAAATATTTAAATATCTGGGTAACCGGTTGAAACATTAACCAATTATCATGTTAATGTGGCGACTGATGTGATATCCCCAACTCAATATTATTTGTTGACGTAGTTAGTGACATGGATTTTTTTTTAATTTAAAATTATTCTTCAACCGGTTACCCGGGTATTTAAATATTTAAAATTTTACATCTTGAATACAAAAATAGAAGTTTTAAACATACGTCATCCAAAATAAGAATAAAGTTAAGGTACGTTACTTTTTCAAACAATTTACACATCTATATACTGTTGCACTTTTTTTTTTATTACAACATACTCATAATTTCTTTTATGATTTATGTTACATCAAGAAAAAAAAACCTTAGTAATTACATTAAAATTATTATAAAGGTGATTAGAGCATTTTTAACGGATTTTTTAAAATAGATAAAATAGAAATTTTATTCCTTATTCTGCTCCAATATATTTTCAATATTGTTATATATACTATATTATAAAGCATTTATCAAAAACTCTTAAAAACCATTTTTTATGCACGAAGTACTGTTTATTGATGCATATTACTTAAAATTTAAGATTACAAGTAAATTGTAAAGCTCCATATTTGAATTCATGTAACTAGCTGCAGATAAACATAATCAAATATTGGATAAACATTATATTTTAAATATAAAAAATCTAAAATATAATTAGGATAATCATTGATATATAACAAAATACTTAGTTATTATCTATATAAAAATTATATTATTAAACCTAAATTAAATTTCTTTGTTAGTAAATCTAAATTAAATTATAATTAAAAAAATTGAATTAAGAAAATTACACCGAAACACAAGAACTTTTAAAAATATTAATCTGATACTGGTATCGATATAATTTTTTTTCAAAATTTTATAGTATTTTCAAATTTATATTTTATTCGAAAATAAAAACATTATCGTTTTTTCAAAATCACATAAACTTGTATTATATTGACATAAAAAAGAATAAAACAAAACACTGAAATCAAGATGTGTCTCGTTGCATTGCACGAGTACCTTTCTATTATAAAACAAATAAAACTCCAACTTTAAGGAATTCTATAAAATTTAATATTGATGAAAGAGAACTGATTTTTTTTTAATTATTTCCACCAATGAAATTGAATGTATTTTTATTTTATATATTTTTTTCAATAATATTATATAGCAACATAATTAATGTTAAAATATTTAAATCAAAATATAATTTTTTTTAGAGATTTAATTTTTTATTCTTAATTTTAAATAAATTATTAAAATCTGTTGAGATGATCTTAGAAAATTATAGAAAAAAAAAACACACACACACACATATATATATATATATATATAATACATAACACTTTAGGAATTGGTTTAAAATTTACGATAGGAGACCGTCAAATAGTTGACATGGTACTCGTTCACGAAAGTATCTCAGTAGATTCTCTATAATTTATCTAAAATTAAAATATATATTTTATTTTTTATTAATATAGTTTTTTTATTGGTGTTAACATAATAAAAATATATCTCTTTTTTTATGGTTAGAGCATCTACAAAAGATTATCTGAAATGGAGAAAGTAATGATAGAATTTTGGGCAATGTTTCTGCTCTAATAAATTCTCAAAAAGGGAGAAAATACGAGAGCATCTTCAACAACTATGTTATTTTATAAATTCAAAAGATATGGAAAAATTTTACTCGAACAACTATGCTAAATTATCATCTCAAATAAAGAGAAAGTACAGTATAGTTGTTGGAGGTACTACGGGAGAGAGAGAGTCTGTATGAAATTTTTTAAATTTGGAGAACTTTAAAAAATTGATTACCATAACAGATAAATATTTTATTACTGTTATATTTTCACCAATAAAATCTTGAAATTAAATATTAGAAAAAATAATATTTTATTAAATATATAAAATATTTTAATAATATAATTAATGTTATAAT